GACGCTTATTCGCCGAAAAATTCGGGCCCTATTTTATAAGTAGGGGGATTAAATTCCATTCGCGACGCTTATTCGCCGAAAAATTCGGGCCCTATTTTATAAGTAGGGGGATTAGATTTCATACGCGACGCTTATTCGCCGAAAAATTCGGGCCCTATTTTATAAGTAGGGGGATTAAATTCCATTCGCGACGCTTATTCGCCGAAAAATTCGGGCCCTATTTTATAAGTAGGGGGATTAGAATTCATTCGCGACGCTTATTCGCCGAAAAATTCGGGCCCTATTTTATAAGTAGGGGGATTAGATTTCATTCGCGACGCTTATTCGCCGAAAAATTCGGGCCCTATTTTATAAGTAGGGGGATTAAATTCCATTCGCGACGCTTATTCGCCGAAAAATTCGGGCCCTATTTTATAAGTAGGGGGATTAAATTCCATTCGCGACGCTTATTCGCCGAAAAATTCGGGCCCTATTTTATAAGTAGGGGGATTAAATTCCATTCGCGACGCTTATTCGCCGAAAAATTCGGGCCCTATTTTATAAGTAGGGGGATTAAATTCCATTCGCGACGCTTATTCGCCGAAAAATTCGGGCCCTATTTTATAAGTAGGGGGATTAAATTCCATTCGCGACGCTTATTCGCCGAAAAATTCGGGCCCTATTTTATAAGTAGGGGGATTAAATTCCATTCGCGACGCTTATTCGCCGAAAAATTCGGGCCCTATTTTATAAGTAGGGGGATTAGATTTCATACGCGACGCTTATTCGCCGAAAAATTCGGGCCCTATTTTATAAGTAGGGGGATTAGATTTCATTCGCGACGCTTATTCGCCGAAAAATTCGGGCCCTATTTTATAAGTAGGGGGATTAAATTCCATTCGCGACGCTTATTCGCCGAAAAATTCGGGCCCTATTTTATAAGTAGGGGGATTAGATTTCATACGCGACGCTTATTCGCCGAAAAATTCGGGCCCTATTTTATAAGTAGGGGGATTAGATTTCATTCGCGACGCTTATTCGCCGAAAAATTCGGGCCCTATTTTATAAGTAGGGGGATTAAATTCCATTCGCGACGCTTATTCGCCGAAAAATTCGGGCCCTATTTTATAAGTAGGGGGATTAAATTCCATTCGCGACGCTTATTCGCCGAAAAATTCGGGCCCTATTTTATAAGTAGGGGGATTAGAATTCATACGCGACGCTTATTCGCCGAAAAATTCGGGCCCTATTTTATAAGTAGGGGGATTAGATTTCATTCGCGACGCTTATTCGCCGAAAAATTCGGGCCCTATTTTATAAGTAGGGGGATTAAATTCCATTCGCGACGCTTATTCGCCGAAAAATTCGGGCCCTATTGAATTTATTCATCAATAATTCCAAAAGAATACTTTTTATATATAAAAGCAGACTGGGAATAAAAAATAAAAGAAAATAATATATTCGTTTCTCTAATTTTTGTATTGTTTTGTAGATGTTTTTGAACGTTATTAAGTTTTCAAAAAATATTTCGAATATAAAAAATAGTTTCAAAAACAATACACAATTTTTAATAGGGACAGGATAAATAATTGAAGATCGAAATTAAATATTCACCATACTTAAATTTTTTAAAGAAATGAATTCGGGGAAATATCAGATTTACATTGTCAATCAAAAACGACAAAAATGGGTGTGTGTATTACAATAGAATAATATTTTAAGCGTAACCAAATTTATAAAATTTCCAGGTCAAAATATGAAAAAACTTTCCCCTTTGACTCCCCCCCCCCCCCCAATAAAATTTTTGGTTACGCTTATACCAAGGACGTAGCTAATGGAAAATTACAATAAATCTCAAATATTAATTTCCCTTTAAATTTCCAAAGCCACGCCCTATTTTCACTAACAAAAAAATTAATTTAAAATAAATATCTTTAAATCAAAGCAATTCCTTCCTCAAAATTTCATAAACAACTCTCTCACGGAAATATGGAACATGTTGCTGTGAAAACGTGATTGGCGCTCTTCGAGAGGCATATTCTGCAAACAAAATTGAAAACATTCCGCAGTCCCACATATTTCCTTGATTTGGAATGTCCTCAAAATTATAATTATTTAAAATAAAAATTATTATTTAAAAAAACCTTCCGACAAGTAAACTCCCATCCAGTCATGTCGTATGGTCTCTTTCTTTTATCCATAGATTCTTCAGCAAGATAATTGCTAAAAATCAAAAATGATTTATCTTCTTGGGGAGGAATTTTAGAAATAAGTACTAAAGTGGGGAACACGTTGGTTATTCGATATCTCACGCAGGAACGCATAAAATTAGCTAGAGGGCGCAAAATTAGCTAGAGGGCGCATAAAATTAGCTAGAGGGCGCAAAATTAGCTAGAGGGCGCATAAAATTAGCTAGAGGCCCTAACTTTAACTAGTAGTAAAGTTAGGGCTTTAAAAAATCAAATTCAGACCTTAACAATTCCAAGCATGTAAAGTTGTCAGCTTTCAGGGAATCATAATAATCAATTTTGCGTTCCTCAAAATCAATAACCTTCAAAAATATTTTCAAATAATTTTTTTTAATTTTTCTATTACCGCCATACACCAATGATTACCCAAATGTACTGGAACAAAAATCATTTGATTTTCAAAAATATCAACTTTCTTTGTCCATCGTTTCACACTCGAAAAGCCTTTTCCAGAAAGGTTAACATAAAAATAGGTGTTAAAAGCATAGACCTTTTAAATTTAGAAAAATTAGAAATTTATTTTTAAATAAATTACTTTAGGTAATTTTCTATTGACTTTGCTTCTATCAACAATCAAGTTGATATAAAAGTTGATAACTGAAAAAATAAAAATTGTTAATTACAAAAACTAAAAAAATAAAAAACACCAAAAAGGAGAACCGAAAGACCTGCCCCAAATATAATTAGCCCCGTAAAAGCAAATCAAATTATTCTCCCAAAAGCTTAAATTATTACCTTCGTCATTAAGCCACTCTGCCCCACAAAGAGTCAACAAATCCTTTCGAGCTATATCAACACCATCAAAATTAGAAAAGACTTCATTGGGCGGGGCATATTTGTTCCAAATAATTCTAATAATCTGCCTTACGTTGTTTGGAATTTCTATAAAATTTTCAGTATTAAAATATTTTTTAATGAAAAAACCAGGAAATTCTTCACGAGGAGGTTCACGTCGCTCCAAAACAAGTCCCTCAACTTGAAGACGCAATCGAAGCATTTCCTGTTCATTAATTTTTCGATTATGTCTTGAAAGTTCTCGTTCTGCCAATTCAGCTTCCAACTCTTTAACAGCTCTCAGACGATTTTCTTTTTCATCAATATACCTCTGAGAACGCCATTGATGGTGGGTATTTGGTAAAGGAGTAGAAATCGACCTTCGAGTAACTGCTTCATTGTTTGGACGAATTTGTGGCTTAACTTGGTCAGGAAGGCTGGCTTTGTCATTCTTTGGTGGAATTGATGGTTCAGACGTGGCTACTATAAAACATTTATTAAATTTAGAGAAAATTCAAACCTGAATTATTTCTTGGCCGAAAACCCAAATCAACAGACGGGGAAGAATTGAAATGATTATTCTTAGAAAACAATGCAGCCCGAACAATTCCAGTCAAAGAAGTCCCATTGTTTGTACGCAAGTTGGGATAATTATTTGAGCTGGAGTGACCATTGGAATCGAAGTGGAACTGCGCATAAGTTGGAGTTTTTGAAGTGTCCTACAATTTAAAACGAATGAAACATTTGAATCGCTAGTTTTGTAACGCCTAGTCAAAAATATAGAAAACTGGAAAGGCAAAAGCAAAACTTTCTAAAATACAAAATTTCGGTTAAGGAAACCACAACAGTTCGATCTCTGTCTAAAATTCCCATTACATCGAAGACTTAAAAATAAGTTCGAAGTAAGGCTTACAATCACACAAAAAAATTTAAAAACCCCAAAAAAGAAAACCTTTGTCGTCAAGCCAATCAATTTCTTCAATCTCTCCATTTTTTCTTGAATGCTCAAATATTCAGTTTTGGGCGGAATTTTTAATTGTTGCCTTCGTTGAAAATCATTCCATTCAGATTTATGTAAAACAGATTTTAAACGATTAGGTGAAGAAGTTGAATAAGGTTTAAAGCGTTCTGAATTTCCACGTGGCAAACTAAATAATGATCCAAAATGCATATTTTGTTCTAAAAAAAGTAAAAAGCGTTCTAAAACACTAATTAAGCTTTTCTAAAATATGAAAACAGTTAACGACAATCAAGATGAATATTTATTTTTTTGGAGTAAAGTGTCTAAGTTGTTTTTAAAGGAAAAAGTTATTTTTGAAAAATATTTAATTTTGTAAATAAATAGTGAACCAAAAGCCAAGCCTATCACCTATTGTTTGCCGAGATTACCCATTATATTTGTTCAATATTGTTAAAAACGACCACTAGTAAAGCTCCACAAGTAAAAATTTTGAAAGAATTTGTTTAATCTGTGGTGGGACAACTCAGTCTCTAAAATTTTTATTTTTAGGGATTCGTTCTCAACAAACAAGTTTTATAACTGAGTGCAAAAATAATAAAAATTTTGATCATGATTAACGAAACTTTGATTCTCGAACCTACAAATTAATTGCTGAAAAACTAAAGAAAACCAGGGCTGTGGATTTTGAAAAAACCTGGACCGAAAAGAGGAAATGAAACTGAGGGTACTGGGAGGGACCCGGCTGGAGAAAACAACAAATTCACATGTAGGATTCCTGCCTGTTCAAGGACGATCGGATTTCCGATCCGGGAAACGAGACGAGACTCTAGAAAATGAAATTTCTATGAGACTGAAATGTCTTTTCGCGGGAAAAACTTTGGCGTTTCGATTTATTGTTCTTTACCACAAATTTTTTTGCCAACAATCAATAAAAGATTTTTTGTTTTTCTAACGAATTTTTCTAATGTTGTCGGTTTTTTAAAGTATGTATTTCTATTTTAAACCTTTTTCAGATAAGCTAACAAGTTTAATACAAAATGATCGGTTCGAAAGTGTCAGCTTCATCCTCTACAATTGACAGTGATTTTGATTTGGTCAGCGCACATTCTATGATTAATACTTTAAAATTAAAAAAGTGTATTGATTCTCCAAGTAACAAAGAAAATTTTTTAACATCAAAAAGCAAAGGTTTTTTTATAAAAATTTAAATTTAATTAATTTTGTTTCTCAGCTTCTTCCTCACAGAATAATTCAAAAAAACTTCCAAACACTTCTCAATTAAACAAAGAAACTAATTCGAAAGACAATGCTGTTCTTCTCCAGAAACTTAAACAAGCCAAAAAGGCCCTAGCCAAATATCAGGAAGACAAAAATCGTTTGGAATCTGAATTAACTCAAAATCGTTCTTTAATGGCTCAAATTTTGTCTTGCCAAATTACGGCAAAGAATAAGACCCGTGTTAAGAATTCGTCACGTCCGAAAGAATATTTTCCGTCAGATGATCGTTGTGTTGGGATTAAGGTAGAAAATGAATTCACTTATTTTCTTAATTATTCTTTTTGAGACATTTGATTCACTTGCTTGGATTCCTTTGCTTGAAAGACTTGAAGAAGAACAGGGTTTGTCTAATTAATTTTTTTTGAAGAATTATATGAATTTAACTTTAATTTATTATTTGGTTTAAATGTTAAGGGTTTTTCATGAGAATTCAGTTGAGATCTTGCTCTAATTTTTTAGCAGATTTTCTAGAATCCAATCAGAAAGAAATAATCGTTTTTTAAATTAATCTATAGTATTTTAATCTTTATTATTTATTTAGTTGATATCTTTGTCCAAGTGCCTCCTCCAATGATACCGCGACTTCTGGATGGTAAAGGCGGCCTTATTTCTCAGACTGTAAGCGTTTCCATTCATTTTTTGTCAATTTAAATTTAGGTATTTAAAAGCCTTATCTCTCTGACAGTCAATGATCATCAGAATAGTTCAGTTGCCACTCCGCCATTTTGCATTATTCTCTTACCTTTTAGTCATGTTGTAACACGTTATCTAACTTATTTGAAAGGTTAACAATTTTTTATTTCTAGAAATAATTTTTTTCAAATTTTAGACGAGTCTGTTAATGTTTTATTTACGCGAGGTTATATTCTTATTTTATTTTTTATTTTTAAAATTTATTTGAATACAGATGGTTTATTTAACATGGACTGCATTAATAAATCACCTTTTTATCCTACATTTTGTTTAACTACTTGCAATCATTTTTTAATTGAACTTGACAACGGAAATGATAAATTAAGTTTTCTTTTAATTTCATTATCTATTTAATCAAGACCTTCCATTTTTTAGCTATATTTTTATTTCTTTATTAGATCTTGATAATTAAAAACTTTATATTTTTAGATAGCTCTAGACAACCTCACACTTTTATTGTTGGACGAAGCTGATTTACTCATTCATGTAAAAAATTTTTTTAATTTTACTTCAAAAAACATTTTTTAGGATGTTGATTTTGTTCGTTGTTTTATTGAAATTCAATCACTTTCTTGTGTTAGTTTTTTAATTCTTTTTTTTCAAAAAATATTTTTTTAGTTTTATCGGACTTTGATGTTCAGTCGAACATTGGATAATCAGACAAGCCCTCTTTTATCTGATATTTTAAAAGTTGGGTACAAGACGCTATTAATCGGTGAACGAGCATTTGAAATGAGTAATTCTTTTATTTTTTAAAAATAATTTTGAGTTTTTCCAGGTCATAGCAGTTTAAATTATTCTGAACAAAGCGAAGGCCGTCTTATTGATTTTGATGAAGAATCCTCTGTTTCTGAAAACGAATTGAATCAAACTGGACATTCAAATGAATTACCTGAACAACAACAGGGAGATAATGAGACTATTGATGTCTTTATAAATTTGTCGACATTAAATGATGAAGAGGTATTTTTAAATTTGTGTACAAAAAATCTGTGGTAGGAACGCCAAAATGAACGCCAAAATTCAAAATTTTGGCGCACACCCAATGTTAGCCCCCCCCCCCCCCGAAACCGACCCCCTGGATACGCCCTTGCCGTCTGGTCTCCCCTCACTCTCATGGGGATTAGAATTACTGTTAGTTTAGTATTCATATACGTGTTTTGAAAGAATTACCCTTTATACTAACTTAAAATTATAAAGCAGGAAGATATCATTGTATCAAATTCTGAATTATCTCAACCATCAGAAACTAATGAATTAAGTGAAAACGTGGAAGAACAGAATTTAATTTCGAATAAAGACAGTTGGCCACTTGAATTCATTAATATTCGCCCTCCACCACCTCCTGCAATGTTGCCTTTTTACATGGAAAATAATGAAGAAATAAATTTTAACGAACAAGGGACTTCTTACCAAATTTACAACAATATTGAGAATGATCAACACCAGCATGGTCTGTCGTCATTTTTTGAAATTGAGGAACAAAATCTGCAAAGAAATGGGCTTTTAATTGATATTGACCAGAGACAATCTACTAGTACTCTTGGAGGTTAAATTTCGAGGAAATTAAATTAAAAATCATATTTTCTAGAAGCTTATCAAAGTTGTTTGGCATCATTTAAAAGTGCTTCGACACACACTTCAATTTCAAATCTCAGTTCTTTCACCAATGCAAATGTTATTTCTCGTCATAATCAAATGCTCAATAATACTTCAAATCGCCAGCTTCAATTAAAGGTTAGTAATATTAATTAGAAAAATGGCAGGTGGTAAGAACCATTCCGATTAGTACTAAATTCAACCTAGTTTATTCTATCTTCGGTTCCCCGAGATTAATTACATATCCATAGATTTTGTCTCGTATAATTTTAAAATTTAGCGTTATCGAACAAAATCGTATGGAAAAGCAAAAATTGGAAAACTTGCTCCCGAATTTACTGCGGATGCTGTTGTTGATTCTGATTTTAAGACTATTTCATTGTCTGACTACAAAGGCAAATATGTTGTGCTCTTCTTTTATCCGCTTGACTTGTTTGTTTTTTTTTAATTTAAATTTATTTGGACGACTGGCTAATCTTAACTTGAGTGTTTTCTCAAATATTTTTAGTTTTAGATTTATCTCTATTCCGTTAAATCTAAATTCCAGTCTGACATTTTTTAATTCCCTTGATTTCTGAATTACCTCAAATTAGTATTTACCAATGGCGTAGACAGGGGATGTCTTTAATTCTAATTTTTCAGTACTTTTGTTTGTCCGACTGAAATAATTGCATTTTCTGAGAGAAGCGGTGACTTTACCAAAATTAACGTTCAATTATTGGCTTGTTCTACTGACTCTAAATTTAGGTTTATCTTTTATTTTTATAATTTTTAATATTTAAATTTTTAGCCATTTTGAATGGATCAATAAGCCACGTAAGGAGGGAGGACTGGGAGAAATGAAAATTCCTGTTCTTTCTGATCGAAATATGAAAATTGCTCGTGATTATGGAGTTCTTAAAGAGGATGAGGGAATTGCCTATCGGTTTTTTAAAGTTTTAAAATTTGAGAAATTTATTTTTTTAGTGGATTGTTTATCATTGATCCTAAAGGAATTCTTCGTCAAATTACTATTAATGACCTTCCTGTTGGACGTTCTGTTGATGAGGTTATTTTTAGAAATTAAAGGGAAATATTTGTAAAATAGAATTGGATATCTATTTTTGGATTACGTTTTTCAATTTTTGGTAACACAAGTTTCCAATGGTTAAGAATTCACGAGTTTTTCTAAAATTATTTATCTTTTCCCTACGCTATTACTTAATTCAAATTTAATTATTAAATTCTTTAATATTTACAGACTCTTCGTCTCGTTCAAGCTTTTCAATATACGGACAAACATGGAGAAGTCTGTCCAGCTAATTGGAAGCCAGGAAGTGATACTATCAAACCAGATCCTAACAAAAGTAAAGAATATTTTGGTAAACAATAAATTGAGAGAGGTTATTTTTGGATAAAATAATTTAAATAAGAAAATGAAAGGAGAGCGATATTAATTTTATAAATTTTACATTTTTTTGATAATTTTACTTAAGTTTACTGCAATGAGTTTTTAAATTATAATTTTTGAATATGCATTTTAAAAATTTGCTAACGAACGGATAAACCTCGATTATTAAATAAAAAATTAGAGAAATATTTATTTCTACCATTGGAGAGAACAATGTTTTAGGAATTGCTATTAAAAATATAAAGCGGTTATATATCCTTTTTATTGTGCTATTTTTGATTTAGTTCATCTTTCATTCAAAAAATTCAATTACTCAACCACAAGTAATTAAGAAAAAAACATCCTTTTTCTTCATGGGCGTACCCATCCACCAAATCCTCGTTCAAGTTCCTTGGCAGCAGCCATCAATAACGGTTCAGAATTAGGTGGTCCAGCAATTTGGACACTCAAAGGGATTTGTTTTGAGGAATCCAATCCTGTAAAAGTAAACAGACTTAAAGTCTAAATAAACAATTGTTTCGTGATTACCGACAGGACAGGATATAGCTGGGAAGCCCAGAATATTAAATAATTCTGTAAAGGCGAGATTCAAGCTTGTAAACAAGTCTTGGTGATGGAATGGTGCAAGTGTTGGCCATGTTGGCAAAAGAAGGATACCTTTGTCACCAAGTGCTTGTTTGATTTGGTGACGAAGTTTGTCAAGTTTTTTAAGCATCTTACATGAAAATGAAAAAAAAGTTAAAATTAAACAGGTTAAGTCGTTTGAGTGGTATGTGTGGGAATAAGAGTTATAAGATGACAGAACTATAAGAGGATATAATATAAGGATATAATCCTATGAGGACAGGATTCAGCCAGACCTGCCCATGGATACGGATATGGATACAGATAATATCAAAATGCCTGCGGATATCCGCCTGTATCCGTCAGTATCTGCCGTAAATATGCGGATACGGATACCAAGATCAGTATCCGTGACCAGGTCTAGATTCAACTAAACAAAGTAAATCTTTGGTAATCCCTTTTAACTTCAACCCGATTTAGTCTCTCTCTAGTTCCATAAATCCCACTTCAGGCTACAAGACTAGTTAACTACTCTAGACATAGAATCTAAAATTATTTTCTCACATATTCCTTTTCATTATCATCTCGTACATCTACAAATGCATGTATAAGAGAGAATATCCACGCACAACTAGTTAATTCTGATTTATCATTAAATACTTTTGGGAATTCTTTAATAATGTCTGGAATGCCCTAAAATTTAAAAATAACTTTTAAATTCCCCTTCTTCTACAAACCAATGCGGGAGTCCCAAAGCCCAAAGCACCCCAAATTTCGTAGAGATGACTGGCTAATGGAAATTCAACTTTTTGGGCAGTAACATTAAATTCTGTTTCGAAAAAACTAACAGACTAGAAGAAATAATTTAAAGAAAAATAAAAATTAATTTTACTTTTCTCAGTGCTTGTAAAACTTCTGAATGAACATTTTCCATAAACCAAATATTTAAAATATCCATATAAATAATTTTAACTTGGCTAAAGTCAATTTGAAAATCCACCTCAGATTGTAACTTTCCGGAAATTATCTTTAAATAAATTGAAATTTAAAAAATTAAATTTAATGAATGTATCAAGTAATTTCCTTAAAAACCAAAAGAAAAAATACAAGGGAAATATAAACAAAAATTATTTTCCTTTCATAAGGGTTACAAATACGTCCATAAATTTTTTATTTGTTTGTTCATTATCAGCTTTACCCATTTTCCGTTAATTTTCTGTTAAGGGGCATTCACAAAAATTTAAGGGAAATAAATTCTTTCAAAAATAAGACTTAAAACAAATTGTTTGGCCAGACATTTTTTTAATAAAAAATTAGCGATAAATAATTTTTATAAAAAACCGATTTTTTGAAATCACTTCCCCAAAAATTAAAAAGTTTCAATTATCTTACACTAAAAACAAGAGGAAGGTCTTCAGCATAGCGACACAAAGGACCAATCGTCCATTGGGCTTTACCCATTTCTGTGTCTATTTTAGGCGTAAAACCAATAAGCGAAACAGCATCTAAAAAATAAAATTCTTTTTCTAAAGATCTTCAAGAAAACCTTTTGTTGGTTTTAATCCAAAAACTCCACACATCGAAGCTGGAATTCTGACAGAACCACCCAAATCATTTCCCAAACCAAAAGGGGAAGCCCCAGCCCCAACAAGAGCTCCTTCCCCTCCACTACTTCCACCAGGAATTCGACGTAAATCATAAGGGTTACGTGTACGTCCATAAACTTTATTTGTACAACTCCAATTCATTGCCAATTTTGGTAAATTTGTTATAGCAATTAAAATAGCTCCAGTATTACAAAGTCTGAGGGAAAAAAAGGAATTTTTTAAATAATAATTCGTTTTAAAGCATTAGAAGGTTATAGATGAGAGATTTTGTTTTTATCTACAGTTAACCGATAAATTTTGTTATTTATCCAATCTTTCCCTAAACGCAAACGAGCATTTTTAAATAAAAGGACAAATATTATTTTTGATTTTTGTTAGGTCCCAACCACTCACAGGCATTATAATGATGTATGAATTATTTTAAAATGACTGATAAGGACCAGGAATTTTTTTTTCTCAAAAATAAACCTTTCAACAACAATACAATCCTTTTCCGCTGGTGGATTGTTAACAAACGGAGCATAACCAGCAACAGACACAAACCCTTTAACATCCATATTATTTTTATTGCTGAAAGGGACACCCAATAAAGGCTTATTTTTCTCCAACTAAAATTTAAAAAAAGAAAATTTTTTTCAAAAATTAATAATTTCCCAAACATTTTTGTATTCCTCAGAATTTTCATCCAAATTAGCCAAATAATTATCAACATTTTTAGCCTCTTCCAATGCCTTTTCAAAACGTTCAGCAACAATAGCATTAATTAAAGGTTGGACTCGACGAATACGTGATATGTAGGCAGAAATTAATTGTTCTGAAGAAATCTTTAAAAAATAATTAAAATCATGAGAGAATATCAAACAGAATTGAAAACAGCACAACAAATACTGTGAAACAAAAAAATAAGAATACTGCAAAATTACACTAAAAGGAGTGAATACTAGGAGATGTTCGTGACCAGTTAATCACGATTCTCCCCTTGAGCCGCCACAGGCAAAAATTAACCGGTCGGAAAAGCCTATTATGAGTATGCAATAGAGATCGAGCTGGGTCCGGATAAAGGCCTTCGACCAAGGCCTTCTTTTTCCTTCGTTTTCCCATAGTCCAGGCCCAGACATTTTTTGACCTTCCTGGGTTTTTCCTGGACTACATGCCTAGGATCCGGTCCAGATTAATAAATCAAACCCAGGAACAGGCCCAGGCTTTTCAAAAATCTCGATCTCTAGTATGCAACAAGCAACAACCAAAAACACACAAATAAACAAAGAAATACCTCTTTATTTCTAATTTTCTCGGCAGCCTTTTTAGCCGATATAAAAAGAAAAGGACTTGCTAATTCCTCATTATTCCATTCAACTTTTGTTTTGTGTTTAAATAAATAAAATAAATTAAACCATTGATTGATTACAAAAAAATATATTTTTGTAAATAAATCGAGAAGTGGATATAATTTTTGAAGAAAAAAATAACGTAACATTTCTTCTAAAATTAAAATTTCTTTAAAAAAATTAAAGTATTAAAAATAAATGGAAATTTGGATAAAAAATAAGGGAAGAGTTTTAAAGATTTAATTGAAACTAGAAGTTTTTTATTATTTAGAGATGTGTTTGTTAATTTATAGGAGGTTTTTTGGAGTTTTGATTAAAAAAGAATAATTTTAAGATATTAAAAAGTTAAAAACAAATAAATAATATTTAAAATCCATTTAAAAGGTAAATTTATTCAAAAATATAAAAATGAGATCAATTAAAATGAATAAAAATATATTCATTTTTAATTAAAAAATAATTAGTAAACAAATATAAAAACAAAAATTAGTTAATTTGATATGTTGATTAGAATTTTAATTTAATTATTTCCCACTTCTTAAAACTTGTTTAGTTAAGAATAAAGTTTATTTGTTTAATTTCCTCTAAATATTTCATTAATTTCTTCCTCTTTTTCTTGTTCACGTCTTTTCTCAAGTTTTTCACAACATTTTTTGTGAAATGGCCAATCAAAACGTTGACATTCGATTGAGCAATAATAAATCTAGATTTTTTAATTTTAATTAAAAAATTAATATTTTTATTAGTAAATATAGAATGTAAATTTTGTTGGTATTCCTCCATTTATTTTACCCAATATCTCCCGATTATTTTCCTTCAAAAAATTTTTGGCGATAGAGAGGAATAGAAAAGTGAATCAATCCGAAACCTCTACATATGTAAAAAATTTAATTATTTTTTATTAAAAAGATGTCCCAATTGAAAACAAAAAAGTTGCGAGAAAAATAAAAAAATGGAAAAAAATTTTACTTAAAAAATATTTTATTTAAATATTTACTTTACACTTTGGACAACGCTTTTTAGCTGAAGGAATTGAACAAGTTCTACAAAATTTAGATGTTTGAACAAATCTGTGCCCTAATAAAGCATTACACAAAATAATAAAAGCAGGAGGGGGAGAACCAAATTCGACAGTTTTAAAACTTTGATTTAATGATTGCCACAACATCTTTTAAATTGAAAAAAATTTTTTTAAATTAACTTAAAAAATATAGAGTTAGAGAGCACAGAGAAGGTTATTCTACTTATGTCAATACTGCTGACTTTTAGGTTATGTCAATTGAGTCCACTAGTCTTGAATTATACGAGAGAATATAATTTTGTTTCTGACAACCTTTATTTAAATAAATTATGGTTAGTAGTGGATATCTGTTGGAGAATTCTGTATCAATCTGGAAAGAAGGATTGCCTAGGAAAAATAATAACTAAAATAAATTTTAATCCCCACGTTTAAAAAAATTATCCTTTTTTAAATCAAAAACTATGTATTTCTAACCGATTGTTTATAAGGAAAAGAAACTATTGCTCTTCTAATAAATAATTCCTCGTTATGCCTAACCAAATACTCAGGTTGATCATTTAATAAAGTTTTGGCAAAATCCAAAGCAAATTTCTTCTTCAAGTTTTCCCCTTCATTTTCAGACTTTTTCTCCTCTTTTTTACTACCTTCAGCTTTTATGTGTTTATCAACAAATTGAAGCATTTCTCGAAGGGTGTATAAAACAATCCACAATTTTACTGACATTACCTTTCGAAAAATTAATTTTAAAATTAATTTTTAGGAATTTGAGAGTAATACATAGTATGGTTGGAGGGGCGTGAGAAATCTTCGGATCCAATATACAAACCGAAGATTTCCGGATATCCGGTATTTTTCAGGATTCAGATCCGATCTAATATAGAGCCTAAATATTTTTGCAAAAATTACTTCGTTAGGTTCTTTTGTTCTCAATTGTTTCTCAAAAAGTCTGTCAACAGTCCAAACAGTCTTTTCCCTGTTTTCCCAAATAACTCCATCACCAACAACATCAAAAATTAATCGAACAGGATGGAATAAATGTGTCCGAGTTAGTCGATGTATAAAATCAACAAGTTCGTTGGGGTAAATTTTCTCGCTTTTTTCTCCTTGTGGATGTAAAATTTTATTAACATCCTCTACTCCAATGTGGGCATTAATAACACTAACACACTCATATTGACCTGAAATGAATGAAAAATATCTAGCTAAAGAAAGTTTTGTACCAACAAATGCTGCCATTTCCCCTGCAGTTTTGCCAATAGAATTTTCGACGTGAGTACTTGCCCCAGCGTCCAAAAGAAGTTGACAGATTTTTGGTTTTCCTTAAACTCTAAGGATGATATTTTAATTATTATCCAAACCAGCTAAAGCAGCAAACATTAAAGGAGTATATCCTTGATCGTGATAACGTATATCGGCATCTGCACCAATCTCTAACAACATTTTAACCATTTCTTCATTCCCTTTAAAACAAGCTTGTACAAGTGGACTCATTCCATTCTTTTCCAAACAATCTGGACGAATTTTTCCCAATAAATTGGTAAATTCTTGTATGTTTTCTGGAAAATTTTATTTTGAATTTAAAAATTTGTTTAAAAAAGAGAGATTCACTGATAAACTCACGGTAAAATTCCGTCATACGTCCCGGAAACCGATTCAGACAAACAATATGTCATTTGAAAGAGCTCGGCGAGCTGAGTCGAATGACACCAAAATTAGATCCCGGTCTCACTTATGGACCGAGATATAGGCCCCCGAAAATCGAAAAACCATAGGGTGGACCAAGCACTTTTTTTGGGGTGAAAAATTCGAAAATGCAAATTATACCTCATTCGAAAGAGCTCCTCGAGCTGAGTCGAATGACACCAAAATCAACGAAATCTGATTTGATTTAACAAAGTTATGATCGTTTGTTTTAGCTCCTTACCTTTGTTCTCCGTGGATGTTCATGCTGCTGCGGAGGAAGCCGGGCATGACCATCACAGCGATAATTGGAATAGGATTAAGTTACGAGCCCAGACCCAGCGCCCGTAGACTCCCCGCGAGGCGCGTGCCGCAAAACTCCGCGCGAAGCGCGGAGTTTTGCACAAGCGCCTCGCCGCCGCTCCATAGGTTTATGTTGTTTGTTTTTTTTGTCATAACTTCGAAAAACTTGACCAATCACGGCGATTTTGGTGTCATTCGACTCAGCTTGAAGAGCTCTTTCAAATGAGCTATTATTTGTATATTCGAATTTTTCATCACAAAATTGAGCTTGGTCCCCCCTATGGTTTTTCGATTTTCGGGGGCCTATATCTCGGTCCATAAGTGAGACCAGGACCTAATTTTGGTGTCATTCGACTCAGCTCGCCGAGCTCTTTCAAATGACATATTGTTTGTTTAAATCGGTTTCCGGGACTTATGACGGAATTTTTCCAAACTCACTGAGGCAACAATTCACTGGAAAAGCTTATTGGAATTTTTTCCTTTTGGTGAATTTTCTCATATCCATCAAGATGTATGTATTTTATCCCCTATCAGCTATTTGTTCCAAAATTAAAGTCATGCCAATGTTGACTTTTCAGTTAAATTCCCTATTTTCTCTTATAAAACTTGCCTTGTTCAATAGCCTTAAAAATTAGTTCTTCATCACTAGTTAAATTTTTCAATTCTTTTACTGAAAATTTCTGAATATTTTTATTTAAGGACATTTTTTGTTGTTAATTTTTACTGTTATTTAGATAGTAATAACATCTTTCATTCACATTTTTTAGTTAAAATCCTTTATATCGATTTAAAAATAAGAGGATGGCTAATGCATTTTTACTTGTCCATATTTTCTATTAGTAACAAGGAAAGTAGAGACTTTGTCAGGGTAAATTTCAATTTCAGGCAAAATTCAATTTTGCCGGCAGAATTCAAATTTGCCTGAAATTTTGGACAAATTAAAATTTTCTCTTATCTTTTAGTTTAAAAAAATGTCCTCCTCCCAATACGAACATTTTTATCAATTATATTATAATTTAAAAGAGACAACAATGAAATATTTTTAATTCCAACAAAAACTACTTATGACAAAATCTCAAAATATTTAACTACAAATCAAGTAGACGGGTCTATTTCAATTAATACTTTAACTCATTGGAGAAAAGTTTATTCGATAAGAGAAGTTGACAATCAAAATTTAGTTTTTTATGGGGAGAGGAAAGTTATTTGTGAGGAAGAACTTTTTGAGGTATTGCACAAAGCACATGTTTTTGTTGGACATGGAGGACGGGACTTAATGACAAATGCATTGAGGGGATTCTATGGAGTTGGAAGGTTTTTAGATATAATAAAGCCTAACCATTTCTCCCTTCCATGAAAAATACAAACGGTTAGGAAGCTGGAAGTGAACCATCTTCATTTTTGATCGGAATGACCACGCCACCTCCTACTTGCAATTAGCCTTAATTAAACAGCTATACATTATCTTTAAATTCAGAAAAGTAATCGCAGCTTATTTACAAACATGCACCGAATGTGAACACAAAAGGACAAAAATTAAGAAGAATATTGTAAAGAAGGAAATTGTCCCAAACCCCAAAGGCTATGCTGAAAGTTATCAAGTGGATTTTATTGATATGGAGAGTCAGAGTGACGGCCATTATTCGTGGATTTTGGTTGTTCAGGTTTTGGAAGGGAATGGAAATTATTAAAAATCAAAAAATTAGGATAAATATACAAAATTTGTTCACTTGCGGGCTCTTCAAAATAAAGATTCTCGTTCAATTGCTTTTTTATTGGAAGAAATTTTTGCCCAATTTGGACCTCCTCAAGTATTACATGCTGGAAATTGCCGGGAATTTGAAAATGAACATATCCATTCTCTTTGTAGTGAATGGAAAGTGAAATTAATTAATGGAAATTCTAGAAAATCGTTGAATGAAGAAAGTGTGGAACGAGCTAGTCATGATATAGAAAATATTATTTTGACTTGGGAAACTTCGTTACAACGAAATGACTGGGCAAATAATTTGAAAATTTTTCAGCTTATGAAGAATAATAGGTCTGTTTAGGGGTTTTTAAATGTTTGCAGACTTTTTAAAAAAATTTTGTGGACTTTTTCTCGAGGACCCAAACTGCTTTATTCAGAAACAAATTTCAAATATCGATAAAATTAATTTTTTCTGTTGATTATTGCCCAAGTTAAAATAAAAGAGAAGATCATTAAAACCTCCCCCTTCTTCCTTAAAAAATGACAAAATATTTAGAATTCATTCCTTCATTAAGGTTTCATAAATCCCTCCAAAAAACTCCATACGAAGCAGTATTTGGCCGTAAACTCCACTCTTTACCTTCCAGCGTTTCAATAGATGATCAACTAGAAGAATTTGTAATAAATGGTTTTTATGTAGAGCAAACAGAAAATAATAAAGAGGAAATTCCAGAAGAAATCCCAACTTGTTCAGATTCTCAATTTGATGAAAAGGAGGAGGAAATTACTAAGAAATATTGTAAATGTAATTCTGAATGTAAAGGGAATCGTTGTTGTTGTAAAAAAGAAGGGAGGTTTTGTGGAAATAAATGCCACAAAAGTTTTCCTTGTTCAAATAATTTTTTGGCTTAAAATTTTTTTGTTTTTAAATTTCTTTTTGAATAAAATAAAAATACCTATATTTATTTTTTAATAATTAAATTATTTAAATTTCTCAATATTTTATCCTTTGTCTTAATCAAACCTTTCAAAAAAATTTATTTCCCAGAAAATGCCTGATCTAAACGATTTGAGACAAGTGAGAAAAAATTTAAAAAGAACAAAAATAACGTAAGAAAAAATTTTTAAAAATTTTCCAAAAAAATTTTTAGAGTAAAAAAAGAGGATGGGGGAATTCACCAAGAACAATTAAATGAAAATTGGGAATTTGAAATTATTTTTGAGGATGATGGAAGTGATAAAAAAGAATATATTCCTTCAAATAAAAATAAAAAAGAACAACATTGGTATGGAATGGTAATTGATTTTAAACCGGATTTACAAATTGCTTGTGTTTCTGAAAATGTTTATTTGAGGTATTCTGATTTGAATAAAAAGAAACTGAAAAATTATTTTAAAAAGTTTTGGAGTAAAATTATTCATAATTTTAAACCTTAGAATTGTTTCGTTGGTGTTTGCTAAAGTTTTTTAAATTGTTGAAAGACGCCAAATACAAAACGCCAAAAATGAACGCCAATCGCACAATCCCTGGAGCTTAAACAATTTATTCTTTTTAGGCAACAGAAAATAACTAAAACTAAAAAATGATATACCTAATTAAAGGAAATAATATATTTATTTAAATATTTTTAGCAGTCAAGCAGTAGCTCAAGATTTAGAATTATTATTAACCAACAAAATAACACACATAATTAATGTAGCTACGGGTGTTCAATGTTTATTTCCTGAAAATATAATTTATTTGGCTTTAACAGCCTTAGATGTTCCTACAGAAAATTTAAAAAGACATTTTGATAAAGCTGTGAAATTTATTTATAATGCTGTTGAAAATGGGGGAAATGTAAGGGGGAGTATTTGACTGAAAAGACAATTCACCGAAATTTAATTTACAATACATTGACTCTTTAAATAAACACTATTGGGGTTTTTAATTTAAGGAAAGCTTAATTTCTTAAAGAAATTTTCCTTCTAAAAACTCTTTCCTTTATTTTAAGCTTTCAATTTAAGTATTCCTTTTTTCGGTGAATTGTCTGTCCGTTAATTGTCTTTGAAATAAAATATTTTAATTTTTAGGTATTAATTCATTGCAATGCAGGAGTTTCTCGTTCAACAACAATTGTTATTGCTTATTTAATGAATTATAAACATTTGACTGTTAATAAAGCTTTGGAACATGTTCGCAGTCAAAGACCGAGTTAAAAATATTTTAATAATTTTAGTCTTTTCTTTAATAGTTGCTAGGCCAAATGATGGTTTTATGTGTCAATTAAAAGAATATGAAAATGAACTTGGCCTAAATTCTGTCGAAAACCAGTAGAAAATTAAAAAATTAAAGATTTTTTTTATAATTAATTATTTAATAATCAATCTATTAATAATTCTTAAAAAGTAATAAAACAGCCTAATCTACTCTAATTTTAAATGATATTATTTTCGTTGGAAAATTCCTTGAATAAATAAAATGTATGTTTGTATAGAGTTTCGGTTCCTGGAAATTCTTCGGATATCCGGAACCGAACCCGAAACCGAAAAATCATGTTCTTCGGTTCAGTCCAGAACTGACAACCCTAGTTATGTATTATCAAAAAATCCCGAAGTCTTTTAACTATTAACTCTGTTCAATAAAAAGAAGTCTAATAAATTGGACAAGGGCTGAAAATGTCAAACCGAAATTAATAGAATAATACCTCCTTATATATAATAACAGAGAAACAATACATAATTTACTAAAATAATCTTTAAATGGCAATAAAATATATCTATTTATTTTTTAATTAATTTTGCAACGTGAAGGTTCATATTCACATCTTCCACAATTATCTCTATTATGTCCAGGCCCATTATACCAAAGGCAAACCTTTTTTAATTAAAAAAAATATTTTTTTTTAAATTTTCAGAACTACATACAAACCATTTGTTCTAAAATATAAATATAATTTTGTATTGTAGATAAACTATAATTATTAATTAATATCCATAAATTATTTTTTATTGGTTCGGGTCCAAGAAATGGTTGGGTTTGTTGGATTCGTAATTTTGAATTATATGTTTGCCAAATTTGTGAATTTTGTGCACAGTTTCTTTAAATTTGAAAAATTTTTAAAGAAATTGAAGAGTTAAATGAATTTTTGAAAGAGAAAATAGCCTTTCTGTAATCTTGGGAAAAATACACAATCCCGTGGATTTAAATTCTGTGATTTTTGTAATTACTACAGACTATATTGTGCTGATTTTTTAATGATGCAAAATGTTATTTTGTTTCTTAATTATCTTCTCAATTCCCCCCAATATCAGCACAAAACATTTCCATTTTTAAAGTTTAAAACTCCAAAAACTAACATTATTGACTGCCGCTCTACTTCACTCGTAAAAAGACATTCATTTATCCAATTCAAATTAATTTGTTCATATCTTGTGTTTAAACAAAGTAATAAATTATTTTTTTGATTAATATCTGCAACACTTCCAGCAATACAAATCTTTAAATAAATTGAGGTTTTTGATTAACTTTTTTTGATAAAATGGTTTTTTCAATTTTGGGTTTCTTCTTTCTAAAACCCAGCCTATTAACGGATTAATTTATGGTGAACTTAGAGAATTAAGATAATTGGATCTTTATTTAAGATGCCTTTTTAAATAATTTCTTTGGCCATCTCGATAACCGAGATTTTTGATCGAGATATCTTCCCAGTCTTACTACTAGAGGTACTTCTTTCACAAAAAAAGAATATTTTCATCCTCTTTTTACCTACCTCCAAAATTCTTTGAGCACACCATTCAGAAAATCCACATTCTTCCAATTCTTGATTTGTTAAAAATGAAGGTTCTAATTCAACAAACATTTTCCCAAAATTTAATTTATATTTTAAAGTATTTTTATTTAATAAATTATTTAAAATATATTTAATTAAATAATTTCTAGATTCTTCAAATTTTGAATTAAAAATTATTTTAAAATTTAAAGGACGGCCATAATTAATTAAATTTTGTTGATTACATAATTCTTTATTAAAACATTCCAAAGTTATTTTTTCGTTAATACACCAAAATTCTGGAGGAAAATTACATTCTTTTGAATTAAATTTTGTTGTTCTGCTAATTCTTTCATTTGTTTCGTTGTCTATATTTTGAAGCTGAAAAACTAATGGGGAAAAGAGGGGTTTTTTGTTAATTATAAAATTAAAATGTTTATCTTATCTCAGCGGAAAATAAAATGAATAAGTAATGTTTGGAGTTTCGGAGATTTTTTAAAATTATTAGAAAGTATTTTAGTGAATATTAAATTCAAAATACAGACTTTTTCTTTAAGGGACAAAAAAGCGTTTAAATTTTTTGGAGTTCTTTAATATTTTGCCGATTTTAGGCGAAAAGATAGAGAAGATTTTCTCCTATTTTTTATTACCCCCCCCCTTCTCCCCCACCTACTTGATTATTCCCATTATTTCCTTCAATTGTTTTATTCCAATGCCTCATTTTTTCAACAAAAAATAATTGCAGAGAAGATTGTATTTGTATATGGCTAAAATCATTAAATGACAAAAATGGCACAAAACGAGGCTTTTGAGTTAAAATTTGGTTTGTATTGTGTTCATCTTCTAATTGAAATTTAAAAGATTGAGAGCCATCTGCGCATCTTCTAAATTTTGAAAATTATTATCGACTTTTTCATTATTTAGATTGTTTTGATTTAACCTCTCTCTGTATATCTCAGAGCCATTCAACTACATATTAGAAAGTTAAAGTGAGATATCCTGAGATAAATCAGAGATTCAGATATTTGGAAAATGTCAAATTTAAAATAATAACTAGAAATACGATTGAGACGAGAGTTAACTGGAAATCTAGAGATTCTCAAGCGAACATAAAGTGTCCATCCAGTCTTTTCCTTCCCAAAAATATCTGTTCTCCATCAATCCCCTCCATAATTATTTACCTAATTTCCTCAATCATTATTTCATTTGCCCAAACTTGTACCAAACAATTTTTCATTTCAATCATTGGATCACTCCCAACAATCATCATTTGTTTCATAAAACAATACAAAATAACATCCCTCCTTTTTCTATCCCATTTATAAATATTTAATATACAAGAAAGTAATCTGTTGCCTAAACATTCACGAGGTCCATGGTGACAACGAACATTCTGGTCGAAAATTGGTTAAAAATATAGCTAAATTTTATTTTTTATGTAAAAAAGCAGGTTAAATGCCTGATGGCAGACGATTAGATTTTTTAAAATCAGAATCTGAACTAACCGAGTATATCCATAAAATAAAATAATGGCTTAATTATAACGAGGCCATTTTTATGCCATACTTTAGGAGAGAGTATTTGATAGAGTTTCACCGGAAGTTCTGGTTCCGGTTCCGGAAAATTCCGGTGTTTTTTTGGTTCCGGTTCCGGGAACCGGAACTAAAATTGGATCCGGTTTCGGTTCCGGTTCCGGTCAAAATTTCGGTTCTGGTGAAACACTAGTATAATATATCTGTCTATTGAATTACTCCATACAATTAAAGACCGGAATGTTGGAGAAGGCCTATTAAGAGTCTAGATTAACATTTCAAAAATTTTTAAAGACATTAATTCTTTAAGAAACCCGTCATATTAAAAATTATTAATTAAAGAATTTTACCTGGAAGGCGTCTAGAAAGTCCCCACGGAAAAGCATTAAAATCTATAGAATCTGCAAATTCTGGATTGTTCAAAATTTTTGGAAATAGATGATTTACAATTAATTTTTGAGAATCTGGACATCCACTTTCGAAAGCTAACCTGTTTAAATTTAGAAAATCTTTATTTTGAAAAATAAGGAGGATATGAGTTAATTTAACTAAAAATCTTGGCTCCCTCTCAGTTTATTTTCAAGATTAATATATCTACTATAAAAAGAACAATATTTTATGCTTTATCCAACTCAAATCCAAATTGTCAAGCCCCCCAACATCATCAGACCGATTCACTTAATGGTGCAACAACAGCAACATAAGATGACTTCTGGCAAGGCTACTACTCCAGCAGACAAGCACAACGATTTGCTCTTCTTGATGGTGAATTGCATCCAAATCCTCTGCGTGCTTATTGTGCTCATGCAAGCTCTGTCAACGACCGAACTTCGAGGAAACTTCTACTACGCCGATCGGGTGCTTAAAAGTAGTTGATTGGTCTAATCTTTATTTTTGTTTGTAGGCGAATATCCGCAAGATGCTCCTAGAATCTGACGGTCTGCGCTGCAAAGAATTCGTCATATACAATGCTGAGCCGCCAACACCGCAGGAGAAATGGGATGAACACCTCAGCAATAGCGGATATGCTACATTGAAAGATCGAGAGGAGAGAAGTGAAGGCAGCAAGGACAACACTCCTAGTTCTGGACGAATCCTGACAATTCTGGAGCGCAGCCTGAAAGTCACTGGCGACGAAGTAAATTCGACCACTGGGGAATTGAAGATGCGGATTTCTCTTCTCTTCGAATGGAAAACCGGTGAGAAGGATTATTTGAGATTTGAAAATATTTCCTTCATTTTTAAAGGTCATGGACAGCTTGATGTGTTGCAAATGCCAGAAGATGTCGAGAATCTGACGGAAAGTATTCTTCGAGAATCTCCGGATATGGCCTCATTGAATACAAGTCTACCGAACATTACTTCAACAGACAAAGGGACCGCCAACACCGCCAAAATTCCTCTGCCTTCGGTTGCTAGTGCAGAAAATTCTGAGGAGATAAAGGATGTTGAGGAGAAGGAATACCCGACCAATTCTGACAACCAAATACAGCCTCGCTTCCCTAATGGGACTCACGCATACAAGGTGAAAACACCCCATTAAATCTCATTTAAAGTTAAATAATTTTGCAGATCAACAAAATGGAAGGAATGCAAGAAAACAAGCCTGCCGATGTTTTCGATCCGTTCAACCACGTAGCAAAGCATTTGCTCGTCTACACTCTAGCCAGTTTCCTCCACTTGATTCTTCAATTCTGTCGCTGTGCTCTCAGCGACAATAATGGACGTTATTCGGTAATTTTTCTGACTTAAATTCAGTCTTAAATCCTCTTTTTATTTTAAAGGTTTGCGAGCTGATTTTTCTGGTGGTCTCAATGGTTGTTTGGGGAATTATGCTGGTCTTGACTTCCTCCACGAGCGTCAACTGGGACAGTTTATGGATGTGCACAAATTTCCGACCGGAGAAGCCCAAAGTCTTCATTGTGGCGGTGGTGGGAGATTTTGATGATTTTTCAATCCAAATTCAAATTTTGTAGATTTGTTCTGCTGTGCTGGTTGTTCTCTACCTGTTCGAGGCTCTGTATGCTTGCGAGATGATGTTCGTCGAGGAAGCGACCAAAAATGTGAAGGTGGAAGGGGGGAAGTCTTCTGAAGCTTCTTCCCCTCCAAAGAATAACAACGCCATTGTTGCCGCTTCGACTGATGACACTACTAGTACCTCCATTCTGTTGCCATTCACTCTTCATGGAGGCAAGATTGGAGGCAACATCCAGCAGGCTAAACTTGTGCGAGAAGACTTCTGCATGATAACCGTAAAGGAGAACTAAATCGAAGTGTGTGATGTAGTGAACAAATATTGAGAATAATAAATATGTGTTGTTAGTTGTGTTGATATATAGATATAATCCCCCCACACATCTAAATGTATCTTTTGTAATATAACAATCACCTTCATGTTGTATATACCTATTGCTATTTGCTAATTGAAATGTTATTTCTAATGAAGATAAAAGTATTTAACAGGATATATTGTTGCGAAATTTACTTTTATATGAAAATCCATTTCCTTTGTCTTTAATCACTCAAAACACATTCTGGAACAACATCTCCCTTTTCTTTTCTCTCCAAAAATAAATGAAGTTCAACAGTCCTCCCTTCGCTCCTTTTATTAAATTTTATCCCAAAAGTTATTGCCTAGCCCAAAAGTTAATTTACAAAATTAAGGACATTTTAATTAAATAGTATTATTTTTAAACTAACTTTAAATCAATTTTTCTTTTATTAAAATATTTATTCCTTCTATAATTATTGCAAAAAGTTGTAGAGCCCCCAGTACATATTAATGCTATATTTGGATTATCACACCAAAAATCTGATGGAATTAAACATTGTTGTGATTGTGGAAGTGAGGAGGAGGAGGGTTGATAATTTATTTGGTGATTTGGTGTTTGGTATCTAATTTCTGAAGTGGGCCTGAAAATATTGAAAAGAAATATTTTTAATTATTTACAAAAATCTTTTTATATTATCCCAAAATATTTTTATAGTTGAACTAAAAAATGAGTGGAAATGTGGAAAAATTTTGAAGTTGATTGTTAATGTAGGGGACTTAGAGAAGCTTGGATAACTATGTATAAGAATGCTCAGTGAAAGTTTCGATATAAATGAGAAATAATCCTCTTAATTAGTGGGAAAGGAATAAATCGAAGCTCTCAATTGCTAAATTCTAAGATAAAAGAGATATGTTCTTCTAAATTAAAGAGAAGAATGTCTTTACAAATTTCCAATAAAAATACCTCAAACTTTTTGAATTTACCAAAACATTTTTATTCCTAACATTTTTAATTAAATTTAAATTTTTGTTTGTTTTAATATTAATTATAGAAAATGAATAAATATTGGAAAATAAAATTAAATAAAATTGTAATAAATTAAATAATAAATATTTTTTGTAAATTTTATAAAGTAATAATTTATTTAATAAAATAATAATTATTTTCATATGTGCCTCTAAATAAAAAAAGATTAATTCTCTAAAAAAATAATTTTATGAAAAAACATAAAAATAAAAAAATTCAAGTTGTCCCCTTGTAAGGAAGAAATTTTAAAAAAAGATTCAAGTCAGGGATGTCTCGGGTTACCCGAAACCCGATAGGCATTTCCTTCAATAATTGGAAAAATTATTTAAAACTTGTATTGCAACAATAACAAAGCAGGACGGAGAGGGAAACCGCATTTTAAAACGGAAGACGGTGAGGGAATAAAATAGAATTGGTGCAGATTGAATGCGGAAGTGCTAGAAAATGAGAAATTCTGCGGAAGCGGAAAGAGAGCTTCTCGCTGCTATAAATACTTATAAGAGTTTTGGAATCTATTTAAAAACAATGCAAATAAGAAATTTTTTTCAAAAATATTTTTTCGTATAAATATTTATAACTAAATATATTCATCAATCCACAGTGTGGCATTGATTGCAAATAAAAGAAAAAAATATTTTGAAGGATCCATCAAAAATAACTAGAATTAAAACTAAATAATGTCCAGTTTTGACGATTATTTATTTTTTATTCATCAAAAATATTTTTTGTGATATTTTTAACCCGATAATAAATAAATAAATATTTTTTATTCTCTTTTAAATGCCAAATCGGCTTTTTTATAATTTTTTTCTTCAATAGCTTGTCAAGGTTAAACACTAAAAATGTATTGAGCAATGAAAAAATAATATTTAGTCTACTTTATAAATAAAAAGTGCTTAAATTTTTGGGGGAAATGGTTGTTGGATTAAATTTGGGAGGATATAAATAATTAAAAATTGCAAAATAATTTCCAAAAATTTATTTTTAACCCAAAATTAATTTAAAAAGAATTTAGCGACATTAATTGACGTAGAAGTGCAAAAAAAAGTAATTAATCAAGAAAGGAAAAATATTTGCCGTCAAAGGTATTTTATAAATACAAAAATTCCTTGAAGGGGCTTTTTGATGTTTTTTTGTTTTGAAAAAAATTTAAATTGAAAAAATAAAGTATTTTTTAGAAAATATCTTCAAACAATTATTAATTTGATAAATACATACAGTGGAGGGGAATGGTTGTTGGAAAAATTTGTTGAAGGGAAACATCAAAAAGATACTTAAAAAAATATTTTCGACCCATTATGGGTTACAGTAAAATCTCCTTTAATGATTAACTGCAAGCCCGTAAAATTTGCCGCAAAATACAATTTGTTTGATTTCTGTAAAAATCTTTTTTGTCCATCACTGTATAATTTTTAAAGGAAAATCAAGACATTTTTTCGAAAACTTTTTTAGTTTTGTATTTACTGTTTTTACAATGTATATTCAATTAGTTGAATTTATAGTTGTAGTTTTTCATATAAGAAAATGGAAGAGAATTTATAAATAAATAAATTGTTCGAATAACTTAAATTAAATCCATTTTTAATTAAAAATTGTTTAAAAGTGTTAGAAATATTTGTTTAACTTTATTAAATACAAATTATTCATCATTAATTTTTGCAATACTTTTTGGAAAAATTTAATTTCAAAATAATATTTAAATATTTACACAAATTTATTTTAAAAAGAAAAATAAAACTTTTCCTGTTTATTTTTATAAATTCAACTTTCAAAACATCGAGTATATAGAAAATTTCTTCACGAGGGACAAGATTTGGACAAAATTTGGTTAAAACTTTCTATTTTTCGAAGCGATGACATTTAATTAAGCTTTAATTAATTACGGTAGTTCTCAAAACTTACAATAAACACAACATAACTACTATAAACACAACAATATATCACAATGTCTTCCGAATACTGTGGACCTCTACCAATTTCTTCAAAGCTAAACAATTCTCGATTTAATGAAGTATATGAATTGTGCGTGGATACTATAGATAATTTAGCTAAAGAAGGAAAGATTGTTAGAATAATTCTTTTAAAGCAATTAATCTTTTTCTTCTTTAGGCGCCTGGAATTTCGACAGTCCAAAAATTAGGGAAAACAGGTTTTACAAATAGAAAGAACTCGTGCTTTATCAACTGCATTTTGCAAGCGCTAATGAATACAAAAAATTTCATTACTTTATACAAAACGAAAAAATATCAGAACACATCAATGGAACAAATCAGCGAGGCTCGCAAGGTGCCCCATCAGCGTGTCTCGCTGCATATGCCAATTAACTGCTTTAAATACAAATTTTTTTCTGGTAAAATATTTAATATCTAAAAATAGCAAAACGAGGAAATTTGAAAAATATTAACATAACAGAAAGATTTTTAATGAAAAAGTGGAAATTATGGAAAAAATTGTTGCAAATGAGAGAAAAGTCTAGTTTGTATTAATCCTTTTATATTTAGGATATTATTGCCCGTTTGTTCGCTCGGATTTTGATGGGGAATGTGAAAAAGATGCTGATGAATTTCTACTTTGGATATTAATGCAGCTTGCCGAAGACACAAAGAAAGTCTGAAATTATAGAAATTTTAAAGTAAAACCAATTTTTAAGGAAAATGTAGAATTGGGGATAAATCTGAAGAACTATTCAGGCGGAAATATAAGGAATAATGGAAAAGAATGAAGTTATCTACAGCAAAAAGAATCTTCGATTGTTTTGAGTTTCTTCATAACAATTTTTGCTATGAGCTACACCTGCTCAAACTATCATCAGAACTTTAATACCTTCCATCAACAGGTCGTTTAATTTATCTAAAATTAAAGAACAAAAATAGTTAATTTAAATTAACATTAACTCTTAAAATTTTCGGAACAGGATCATTGAGTCCCGCCGGTTGAGTCCCAGATATCAGCCTGTATCAGAATATTCAACTGCTTACTGGAGTCAAAAATATGCTGTTGAATACAAATCTTTTTCTGGTATATAATTTTAAATTGCCAAATTAGGAAATTTGTGATAATATTAGCAAAATAGAAAATATTTTTGATAGAAAAGCGGAAATTATGGAAAATTTAAATTGGAAAAATCCTAAAAAAAAATTAAAATTTTAAACATTTACGTACTTTTTGATATTGGATGATGAGAGAAAGTTCTAATTTTGTATTAATTCTTTTATATTTAGGACATTATATCACGCTATGTCAGATCAGATTTTGATCAATGAGAAGGATTCCAATGAATTTTTAATATGGATATTGTGGAAGTTAGCTGAAGATGTAAAGAAAGTTTAAATTTATAGAAAATTTTAAAAGTTAAAGCGATTTTTTAAGGATAGTATTGAATGAGGTGCTAATCAAAAGAATTATAGCGGCGGACTTATAAAAAATAATGGCCGCCATTACGTTTCAATTCAACAAAAAGAATCATCAATAGTTTTGAATTTCTTCTTAACTATTTTGACCAAAACCTACAATTGTCCAAGGTGCCAACAAACAGTTAATAGCTTTTATCAGCAGCAGTATAGAATATGCAAATAACAAGAATTAAATTAAATAATGCCAGTTTTGACGATTATTTATTTATTTTTATTCATCACAAATATTTTTTGTGATATTTTTAACCCGATAATAAATAAATAAATATTTTTTATTCTCTTTTAATTTATTCTCTTTCATTCTCTATAAATAAAGTGCTTAGGTAATTTGTTGAGAGAAATGTTTGGATTAAATTTTAAAATTTTAAAAGACTTCCAGAAATTTATTTTTAATCCAAAATTAATTTAAAAAGAATTTAGCGACATTAATTGACGTAGAAGTGCAAAAAAAGTAATTAATCAAGAAAGGAGAAATATTTGCCGTCAAAGGTATTTTATAAATACAAAAATTCCTTGAAGGGGCTTTTTGATGTTTTGTTTGAAAAAAATTTTAAATTGAAAAGATAAAGCACTTTTAGTTAGTAAGTGGGAAATATATGTAGATAAAATAATAATGAAATAAGTTAAGATAAAGTGTTTAATTTAAAAACAAAAGAGAAATCTGGGTTTATTTAGGAATACAAATATTTAGATACAATGAATTATAATGATCTTATTTTTTAATAAGTTTACTTTGATTATTTTGAGCCTCTTTATTTTGGCCAAAAATTTGACCGACGGCTGATTTTGATGTGATTCGACGACCTCTTTCGAATGACAGATATCTTATTTATTTTCGTGACTCTTTTTAAACATTTACGCCTGGCGCCATAACGAAAAAGTCACTTTCTAAATATTTTAGCTTATTGTCAAACCTAGTTTAATCTACTAACCATTAAATGAATATTCCTAACTTCATGTAAATAGGACAATAAAAAGTTTTGTATTTATATTTATAAATATACTAAATGCACGGATACAATAAATAAATCTTATTGTGATACAAATATGTGATACTATTTAGCATATGAAATACGGAAACACATGTTTGGAAGAATTGAATAGAGGGAAACGAGTAAAATACATAAATACATATATAGGTAAAATAACGAACAAATTATTTGTTGGGTCTAGCAGCACCTTTCTCTTTCTTGCCTGAGTCCTTCCTAGAGACAAAGTAGACAGCAATTCCAATCCCAATAGCAACCAAAATAATAACGACAACAACGATAATCACAACAAGAAACAGAGACCCTGAAGAATCTTTGGTGGTAGAAGCCCTCATTGTTTTAGCTTTTGTGATTGTAGTTTTGGAGGGGGATTTAGTTGCTCCTTTGGAAGAGAGTGCAGTTTTCTGTTGCATAATCGGTAAGCCTTGAGTTGGCAATTCTGTAGGTGTTGGTTTCGGTGTTGAAGTAATAGGAGAAACAGTCAGCAATCTGTAGTTACGCTTATCCTAGAGAAATACATATTAAATCAATTAAATAAAAATATCACTTACGAAGGAGATCTCCATAAAATCGCATTTTTGCCCTTCTGGGTGATCGTTTTTTACAACATAGTATTTCTTATTTCTTGTAACAAGATCTTCTACCTTCATTGTCATCTTTCGCGATGCTGTTTGTGGAAGAAGATGAAAAACCAACAAACGAGTCATTATAGGATCTGGCCTCGTACCGACAATTTCCCATGTTGAAGGCGAGAGAATATTTTCTGTAAGGTTATTCATGCAGATAGATTTTTGATCCTTGATGTTTGGCTCATTTATTGGAGAACTGATGTGAAATTTAGGATCCTTTTGGTTGATAGTAAGAACAGAATTCATTTTAATTCCTTCCTCACTCATGGGCCAGAATTTACTTGTAGTGTGAACCAATTTTGTGGCAACTAAAATAAATAAAGTTTACAATTTAAATGCAGATATTTACTTGGATTTACAGAAAGCAAAGCATATTCGTCGTCTCGATCTTTATAAGATGCCCATCTAAGTTCTAGACCAGTCTTTTTGACACATCCCTCATAACAACCAGGACACGCACCATCAGCGAAAAGAGGGCCATTGTGGAATTTCTTGACCTCTTCATTTGTCAGGCTGTAGGCAAAAGGCAATCTAAAAAATAGTTGAATATTAAATTAGTGTTTACTTACTTGATTCAAGATATCTTACTATGTTTAAAGTTTAAACTTACACGTTCGAATTGATGTCATCCTTTTTTAAACAACCACCAATCCCACCTCCAGAAAAATGCCACAAAACAGCCGAGAAAACAATTTCGTCCTTCTTATCAGTTAAAAGATCTACAGTACAGCCTTTCGCCTCTTTATCCTTATCCTTGTAGTATAATAGAGTGCTAAAAAAGGGAGATAATAAACAAAAAAATCCACAATAAGTAACTTACATATAATAATTACTCTTCTCCATGTTCAGAGTGTTAATAATACAAGCATTAGGAGAACTCCACATATACTGTCCAAAATCTTCTCTGTCGGCAGCAACCCTCGAGCCTTTGGCAAGCGTTACCTTTCCATCCTGAAGGCTGTGATTCCAATGACCGACGCTTTTCGCTCTTGTGATGTTTAACTGTCCAAGCAATTGTAGAACAACAATGGAGAGTGCCGCGATGTTTGCGAACATTGTTTGCTTTTTGTTCGATTTGTTGTTGCTGAAGATGAAAGACTTCATTGTTGAAGGCCTTTCTAGCACAGATTTTGTTGTTAAAAGTTTTAGGGATTGTAGCAATGTAGAATTTTAATTGAATGATATTGTAGCAGAGTATAGCTAGGCTTTTATAGCATCTTTATATAGTACTGGGTTTAGGGGATGTCAAAATAGGCGAAATATGGCAAAAATGAATGAAATGAAAAACTATCATTGTTTGTTAACAATTTTGGAGATAACAACGTTGTAGTCATTCCATTATTAGCTAATAAATCGACATGAGACTTTCCAAGCTTTAGAATTTTTGAAGAAAATAAGCAAAGTGTTTCATTTTCTGTCGAAAAATTGCAACAGAATCTCAGTTTTTTTTATTTGTTTCTCGCCAACCTTATTTATCTGAACATACAGTAAACTCTTATTTAAAAGACTAAATAATATTGCAGCAAAGTAGCCAGCGACAAAGTGGCGTTTCCATAAATTTACTGAATAGGAACATCAAAGTCTGAAAATTTTTATTCGAATGTCGAAATTTTGATAACAATTTTTCAAATTTATTGGCAGATTTTAGCAACTTTATCAATACAAGAAGTATTTTAATTGCCTAAAAATTAAAAAAATTGAAGCCCAAAATAAGGCTCGGGATTGAAAGACTAGACTTGTGTGTTCTTGGCCGGAAAGAGAAAAAGAAAAATAAATACTTTGTATCTTCTCTCGTTTCCCTCCATGCCTGCGGGTTTTATTTATTTGTTTTTTCTCCGCCACGCGTCAAATATTTTTTTTATTTTAATTTTGTTATTGTTTGAACGTGGATGAAACGTGAATTTTTCTTTAATTTTTTTGTAAATTTTGTTTTTGAAGTTTCTTTGATGTTAAATAATTTAGTCATACTTACACATTAATTTTTGTTAATTTTTATTTTTTTTTCAGATTTTTTCTAAATTTATTAAGCTCCTTTCTTTAAAATTATGTTTTTGAAAGCTAGCATAGAAAGGATTTTAAATGATGCTGGTACTAGACGAAAAGAAAATGTTGAATTGAGGAAAGCCTGTGAAGAGTCTCTCGGTAGTTTTTAAAGGAATTTTCTTCAAAATTTTTATTTTTTAGAGCAACTTAATGCAGAATTACAGACTTTTGGACAGCAACAAACAGAAAATGGAACGGGGCCGTCCTGTGCTATTTTGCCTAATGGAAATAATATTTTTTTGGCTGACCGGTATTTTCCTCCTTTTGAATTGGTAGGTTTTTTAGAGAATTTATTCTTTAAATAATTTTTATTTCTTTTAAGGCGTGCCAAAGTAAATCCTCCAAAATTGTTATAAATGCTTTGGATTCACTTCAGGTTTTTTATTAAATATTTTTTTGTCATCTATTACTTCCCCTTCCCGAAATTTCTTTTTCATTATTTATCGTGTAATTATTTCAGGTCCCGTCTTTTTTCCCCTTCCTTTTAAAGAAAATTAATTTTCTAAAATTATTTTTTTCTTTTTTAGAAATTAATTTCCTATGGCCATTTAATTGGTAATCAACCAGACAGTGATAATCCTGAACAATTACTTATTGATAGTTTGTTTGCTTTTTTTAAATCAAAATTTAAATTTCTTTTAATAGGAGTTGTTCAAGCTATTTGTGCTCCATTCCAAGGTCCCCACACTGACGACGCCGTTCAACTTCAAATAATTAAGGTTTGACTTTTAATTTTATTTGGCAAATGCTTTTGCTTTTTTAACTTTTTTGCTGGTATATTTTCAAAAATTTAAGGGAATTCTTGCATTAATTCTCAACCAGACTTGTCGAATCCACGAAAGTTCTTTATTGCTTGCTGTGCGTACTTGCTTTAATATTTATTTGGCTAGCAAAAGTCCAATTAATCAATCAACTGCAAAGGGTATTTTGACACAAACAATTAATTATGTTTTTACAAATATGGAGAGAAATGTTGTGGACACTGTTGTTATTCCTTTTGATGAAAATTCGGTAAAATATTTTTGTTTAAATTTTGCCTTTAATTTTTGGGTTGGATGGCTTGGGAATTGCTTTAATAGGGAAAATTTTTAATGGTTTTTGTTAGCCCTCTTCTTATTTCAAAGATGGATTGACCCTTTCCTTTGAAGTTAACTTAAGAATTTTGATTTGGGATTTTTTTAATTTTTCAAAATTTTTTACAAATTTTTTTTTAAATTTTACATTTTTTTCTTTTTCAAGGTTGTAAAGGATGTTCTCGATTCTGTAGTTTATCAAGTTAGTACATCACTCGATTCTTGTCAATATGAGAATGGGGAACAGGATTTAAAGGTTTTTTTGTGTTTTCTTGTAAATTTTTTAAAATTAAATTTCAAGTCAACAAACATCGATTTTAACGAGCCTCTCAGTCCAAATGAACAAAATATAATTTTAAATGGATCAATTCATTCATCTTCCCCAAGTTATTATTATGGAATGAATGGGTCTAGTGAAAATACTACAGATTTAAATATTACAACAAATGGGGGAACTCCTAGACAATTACAACAACAAAAATTAGAATTTAATTCAATTGAAGAGAAAGATGCTTTTTTAATTTTTAGAGCACTTTGTAAACTTTCAATGAAACATTTGCCTGATGAACAAGATCCAAGGTTTAAAATTTTTTTAATATTTGGGTATTTGAGTCTAAAATTCTAAAAAGTGTTATTTGTATTCTGGATAATTTTTCTTATTAATTTGAACTGAAATTGGGCCCAATAACCAGAAAAAATTTTTCGGAGGGTATAGAAATCATTTTTGACATTTTGCACTGCAATCGAAAATTTCGGGAGACTTTGATTTTTAAGATAACATTGTTTGGATTAATTTCTCGAATCTGAGAATATCATATTCGGAATTAAAATAACGGACGAAGATATGTGAGATAAAAGATCAGCTTTAACTTGATAATTAATGGGTTTTGTCGTTGATTTAACCGAACAGGATTTGTTAAGTAAATAAAATTGCAATTTTTGATTTTATTATTTTTTATTAATTTCCTAATTTTCTAATTATTTAATTTTAGAAGTCATGAACTTCGTTCAAAAATTCTTTCACTTGAAATGATTTTGCTTGTAATGGAGCATATAAATGGTCAACCATTACCTGATCACCACAGTTTTGTTTATGCAATTCGGCATTTTTTGTGTGTCGCTTTAACACAAAATGCTGTTTCTCCAACAATTACAGTCTTCGAAAAAGCACTTTCAATAATTGTTCAATTAATAAATAAATGGAAATCCCATTTAAAAAAGCAATTGGAAGTATTTTTTAAAGAGATTTTACTTTCAATTCTTGAAAGTCCTTCAAGTTCGTTTGAACATAAATGGGCAGTTTTAAATGCTTTGAGTAAAATTTTTGACGACTCACAAAGTGTAGTGGATATTTATGTTAATTATGATTGTCATATGACTTCTGCTAATATTTTTGAAGAATTGATTTCTCATTTGGCTAAAATTGCTGTAAGTTGGAATTTTTTTTAAATCAAATATTTTGTGACCATCTTCTAGATGGTCAGAAACTAAAAGTGCTATAATTCTTATGGAGCATCCCCTCGTCTTTTAAATTTTGTTCAGTATTTTGATTTATCCCACTTGATTTTTTCAACTATATTTTATTATCTTTCCTTTTCCTCGAATAGTTTTTGCCGGTTTTGTAGTTTTTTAAGGGCCAGTTAATTCCTTTTAGATTCTGGATCCTACCATACTTCATTTTGAGTTAAAAAATTCATGTTTAATTTTATAATTTTTAAATAATTTTAAGTCAAGCTATTCTTCGGACCCTTCATCTCCCACACATGGTCAACAAATTGCAAAAGATCGTGAGAAACGGATGCGTGAATTGGCGTTGAAATGTTTAGTTAAGGCTTTAAAATGTCTGGTTGCCTGGTATGAAGATATGGAAATTGGGAAGGAAGTATCTATTCAATATCCAGCAGAAGAACAACAACAGCCTCTTCAACTTTTTAGTGAAGGAAACGCTGCTGATGTTAATCAAATTGTTCAGGTTTTTATTTAATTTTAGTTTATATATATCAATAGTAGCCAATATTCAAAGAATTTTTATTTGCCCAAGCCTTTTTATTTGGGCATGCCATTTTTAATTGGAGTTGACTGATCCCGAGAAAGTCTGAATATTCAAATTTGTCATTCGATTCTACTTTGTTACCTTTCTAGCTATTGCCGAATAATATCCTCTAATACTTCAGGGTTTCGATTAGGGTAAATCGAGCCTGTATTTTTTTGAATATTAACATTACTTTTAATTAATTATCGCTAAAATTCTATATTATATTACTTTCAATTTTTCAGGTCAAACAACAAAAAAGCCTTATCGAATCAGGCATTGATTTATTCGCTAAAAAGCCAGCTCAAGGCCTCACATTTTTACACTCAAAAGGCTTCATTGGCACCGAACCAGAAGATATAGCAGCATTTTTTCATGCTGAGGAACGTTTGGATAAGTCAGTTATTGGCGATTATCTCGGTGATGGAGATTCTTTTAACCAAAAAGTTATGTATTCTTATGTTGATACTTTTGATTTTTCTGGTGTTAATATTGTTCAAGCTTTGCGTACTTTGCTCAATAAATTTAGACTTCCCGGTGAGGCTCAAAAAATTGATAGAATAATGGAAAAATTTGCTAGCAGGTTTTGCTTTGAATCTTTTTCTTATTAAACTTAATTTTAAAGATATTGTGAATGTAACCCTCAATTAAAAATTTTCGCTTCTGCTGACACTGCCTATGTTCTCAGCTATTCAATAATTATGCTCACTACAGATTTACACAATCCACAAGTTTTAATTTTTAAAAATTATTTTTCAAGAATCATTTTTCTTTAAGGTAAAACGTAAAATGCTTAAAGAAGAATATATTCGAATGAATAGAGGAATAAATGGACAGGATGACTTACCTGACGAATTTTTATCTAAAATATATGATGATATTTCTGCAAATGAAATAAAAACTAAACCGGGGAATTTGAAAAGACCAAAACTTAGTAAATTTTTATTTTTGAATACATATTCTTTCTGTTTTTAGACTCTGAAACAGCAACAATTAGACAAAGAAAAATGTTTCAAAATTTGGAATTGGAATCTATTTCTCAAGTAGCCCATTCTCTTATGGAGGCGGCGACATTTACTCATGTTGAATTTACTACAGCCAAACATTTTGAGCAAGTTCAGTTAATGTTTGAGGTAATTTTAAAATATTTTAAGAAGCCCCTTAAATAATAAAAATATTTAACTTTAACTTTTCAAGCTTATTTGGTCTTTCTGTCTGGCCGCCTTCAGTATTGGCCTCCAATCTTCTGAAGACCCTGCAATATGGCGGTGTTGTCTTCAAGGATTTTCTGAAGGTGTTCGAGTCGCTTGTCTTTTCAGACTAAAAGTGCAACGTGAGGCTTTCGTCCAAGCACTCACAAAATTCACACTTTTGACTGCAAACAGCTCTCTCTCAGAAATGCGACCAAAAAATGTGGAAACAATAAAGCTTTTAATCCAAATTGGTGTTGAGAATGGAAATTATTTAGAGGTTGGAAAAAATTTTTTAAATATTTAATTTTATAAAATTTAGCAATGCTGGTACGATGTTCTAAAATGTATAAGTCAACTTGAACTTGTTCAATCAATCAGCACGGGCAACCATGGTATTATATTTTTCGTTCCCACCCCTCGAAATCTTTAACAATACGAAATATTAGGGGTGGGGATAATCTAAAAATTAGAAATTTTTACGATAAAAAGAAATTTTGTCTTCTTGGTCGGCAATACATAGAAAGGAATATTCGTTTTTCCAGACAAAATTTATTTTTAGTACCTCCTCTTTCCTCATGAATTTTTCTGGATATATTTTGATTTTTAACTTACCTGCTAGTATGTCGTTCTCATTTAGAAGTTTAAAGTTGGAAATGTTATCTGTCAAAGTTGTAGTTTTTTAGGGCATTCTTTCTTTATAAAATACTTATTTTTAATTTCGTGCCAGAAAGGAGAGTTCCTCTTATAGTTTTAGAAAAATACCCTATTCAATGGCACAGAGACCCAATCAAGCATCCAATAGTTTATTTGGAAGATCAATTAAATGACCAAATTCAAAACTTCATTTTCATTAAAGACAATGTAAAAAGCCTGTTCAATATTCGAGAAAAGTCCATTCATGCTGTTCAGAGTTGTTTAGATGAAACTTCTTCTCAAGATGTTGTTGTGGCAATTGACAGGTTTTTTTTTGTTTATTTTTAAAATTATTTTTTTAATTTTTTTCAGAATATTCCAAGACTCTTCTAAATTAACTGGAGATGCAATTATTCAATTTGTGCGTGCTCTCTGTCAAGTTTCACTCGAAGAATTATGTAGCCCTGGGGGTCCAAGCATGTTTATGTTACAAAAAATTGTTGAAATTTCCTTCTATAATATGAACAGAATTCGAATAGAGTATTTGAAATTATTTTATTTTGATTTAAAAAATTAATTTTTAAAGATGGTCGATGATTTGGAACGTTTTGGGAGAACACTTTAATTTGGCTGGATGTTCTTCTAATGGAAATATTTCACATTTTGCATTAGAAGCTCTTCGACAATTGTCAATGAAATTTTTAGAGAAAGGGGAATTACCAAACTTCCGTTTTCAAAAAGAATTTTTACATCCTTTTGAAGGTTTAATTTTTTAAATATTTTTATTCGAAAATATTTTTAAATTTAGTAATTATGGATCGAAACCGTTCTCTCGCCTGTCGTGAGATGATTGTTACTTGTGTCACCGTAAATAATTTTATTTGAATAAAATTTCAATAATTTTTATTTTTAAGCATATGGTTCACTCTCACGCAGACAAAATTCGTTCGGGCTGGAGAAATATTTTCTCTCTTTTCAGTATGGCTGCAACTGAGAAAGATGAGAGAATAGTCGAACAAGCTTTTACTACAACTGCGGAAATTATTGGTTTTTTTATTTTTTCTTTGGCTTTCATTTTTTTTAATTTTTGAAGGTGATGTTTTTCCCAAACATTTTGCCGAATTATCTCCTGACTCTTTCCATGATGCAATCAAGTGTTTGTCAGGATTTGCTTGCAATCCAGCATTTCCTGATACCAGCATGGAGGTTATTTTTGAGAAATTTTTTGTAAAGAAATGTCTTTTTTAGTCTATTCGATTAATTCGTCTAGCTGCTGCCCTTGTTGATAAACACTCAGATTTGATAAATGCAAATTGGGGAAGTAATAGTGGAAGGCCTGAATCTTTTAAGGATTTGTCTAGTACTGGTTAGTAAAATTTAAATAATTAAAAAAATTTCTCTAGAGGGCCACCCAATTTGGATCAAAGGATGGCTTCCTATAATATTCGAACTTTCCTGTATTGTTAATCGATGCAAGTTAGATGTCCGTACTAGAAGTTTAACAGTTTTATTTGAACTTGTAAAATCTTATGGTGCAAAATTTGGAGATGATGCGTGGACTGACTTTTTCAAAATAATTTTTAGAATTTTTGATTTTGGAAAAATTGATGAACTTGGAAACGAGGTAAATTAAAAAAAAAGAAAAAAATTTTACATAAATTTATAGTCAACAGGATATTTAAAATATTATTTTGATGATTTTGTTTTGAGAAATTCTAAAGAAAATTTTTATTCAAAAGAAAATAATAATAGTATAGGGAAATTTATGAAAAATTCGATGAAGGGAAAAAGGGAAATTAAAATAAAAAATAATTTTATTTGGAGGAGACTTAATAAAGAACAGGTGAGAGATTGAAAATAAAATAATGTTTTTTGGATGGGTGGATTTGAAAGATGAAGGAGGGGAATCAGATGAAGGACTTGGGAGAATCAGTTCATCCAGTTAGACGCTCCTTTTTTATAAATAATTAAAAATACTGCTTTGCAGTTAAATAGTGTAAAATAAAATTCTTCAATTTATTTTCAGAAAAATGAATGGATGATCACAACATGTAATCACGCACTCTATGCTATTGTTGACGTATTTTCTGAATATTATATATCGTTGGGTCCTCTACTTTTACCAGAAATTTATAAACAATTATATTGGTGTGTGGAACAGGGAAATGAATTACTTGCCCGATCAGCTATTAATTGCCTTGAAAATCTTGTAGTTTCAAATGGAAATAAATTTAATAAACAAATGTGGGATCAAACAACCGAACAATTAATTAGAATATTTGATTGCTCTGTTGTTGATGTGTATGTTTTTTTAATTTATTTGAATTTATTAGAGAAATTATTTTTAGAGATTCGACTGAATCTTTGACTAATGCTCATCCTGCAAAGTCAACAATGGTTTCGGCAACAAATACACCTACAACACCAAATGATGAAGGGTAAAAATTTTATTTTTGAAAAAATTATTTCTTTAACCCCGGTCGAAGAAATGACTGCCACCGAAAATCTGTTGTTTTTTGTACCGGAGGCAATTTGTTCGAAATCTTAAAACATCCTTAAAAACATTCTCTTAGTCAGATCTCCAAAAATCTTAAAAAATCTTTTTATTTATTTTTTTAAATTTTCTAGTTGTGGCAGTTTTGAGGATTGTGTTTTACTCTCATCAATAACTCGTTGTATTATTCAACTTGAGGTTAATTTTTTTCTCAAAATTAATTTATTATTTTCCTTCCTTTTTAAGGTCGTAGATGCAGTTTCTAATATTCTTTTTGGTAGAAATGCATTCAAAGTAGAGCCACCAGCAAAAAGGCCTTCAAACACTTTCACTAATGAAAGGGGAGGAAATGGAGGGGGAGAGGGCCGTTCAGAAGATTCTTTTTCGATTGGTGAATTGCCGGTAATTTTTTTAGTTCTTTTTTAAATTTCTTCAGTCAATGTTCCAATACCTCTCTACAAAAAATTTAATGTGCCTTGCCGATGCTTTATTGAGAAGTCATTCAATGGCTCGCCGCCTTTCTTCAAACACTACAGCTCAAAGAAATTTACTTTGGAAAGCAACATTTAAAGGACGATCAAAGCCTAATATGCAAAAATTGGAGGCACATTCAATTCATTGTGCATTAAATATTCTTTTCCAACTTTATGCTCAATCTTCAAATGGGGAACCTGAAATTGTTGAAATGTTTAAAAAACAACTTCAAAAGTAATTGAAAAAAGACTAATAAAATTTTCTTAATTTTAGAACAGTAAAATACGCTTTAGAATATTATTTGACATCCCATTCAGACACTTTTCGTTCTTATTGGTTAACTGGTAAAAATAAAAAGGACATTGTTTTTTAAAAGTTAATTTTTTAGTTGTACAAATGATTTTAAACAGAACTTGTGATTTACCTAATGATCGGTTTGCTGAATTGGGGGTTGAATTTAGACTATCTCTTACTTCATTGATTGAGTCTGAAGAAGTAAGTTTATTAGGGAATTTCTTTGAAAATACATGTAAAAACATTTGTATACTTTTTTCTATTTTTAGCAACCAATTATTCGGAGTGCCTTACATCGTGTTGTTCAACGATTTATTACCCATGAACATCCCAATTCTTCTCTAAACACAATTTCTTAAAAGTATTATTTTTAGAACAACGATTTTATTTAAAATTCTATTGTTTTCTTGTGTATTTTTTGTGAAATCTATCTCTATCTTTGGCACTTAACTAATCTACCTTTCATATAAATTTGGACTATTCATTCCTTTTGTGTCAAAATATATTTTTATATATTATCTTTTAATATGACAAATGGCTTCTAAAAATATTTTTTTTGTATTGTCTGTTCATAAATAGTAGAAATTTTAAATAATTATTTAAACCAAGTAGTTGATTAGTTAATATATTAATTTAAAATCAGCCCAATTATTTCTTTGAAAGTTGGGGTATTTCCGTACCAGAAAATTTCGACTAAATTTTGTTTTTGGGAATTCAAATAGAAAATGGCAGTTAACCAATTACTTGGAAAATACTATTATATTTACTATTGTTTAATGGTTTTTATTATTGTCAATTTTCCTGATTAATAAATTGACAAAATTTTTGCGATTTTTAAAAAATATCCGCAAAACTTCCAAAGCCATAATAATTATGTAGAATTTAAAGAAATTATTGTTTCACCACTGTGATTAAAATTGAAAAAATTTTTTTATATTTTTCCCACAAATTTTTCTTTATTCCTGTCCTTTTCCTACATATTTTACATATAAATTCCTAATATTATCAAAATACGTCATATAAATATATTTTTAATTAATTTAAAAAAATAAAGAGGAAATAATTTATATATTTTTATTAGCTAATAGAAATGTAATGAGGTGAGGTATCTTAAATGATGGATATCTCTTTGAAACTACCCACAACCAGTGGATAACTAAATTCAAAACGCGTCGGATTTTTAAAATTAATTTTAAATCAAATAAGGAGTCTCTTCTGGCAGTTCTCCCGTCCAAATTGAGGAGTAATGGGAGAACCTAATAATGAAAGTGTAAAAAAATTTATAAAGTATTTTTTTCTCTAAAATTTAAATATAAGCATTTGAATATCCATTACATTCATTCCAGTCTTTCCAATTTTAACAATATTTCTTCCTTCATTAAATTCACTCCAAAATAGATAAGAACGTTTTTCTTTTAATGCTGACTTTACTTTCGTGGAGAGGGAAGAAAGTTGCTCTGTTGATTTATTTAGTAAATCTTCACTACAAATAAAGGCTCCTGCTGCATCTGTTGGGCCATCCTTTATTTTAAAAAATTTGTTAGAATTTTTATAAATAGATTTGTGGGGAGAGAATTGAATGGAGACTTAATTCGAATTAAAATAAACAGTTGATTCACCGCCAAAAATTAATTTTTTTTAAAAAAGGAGGAAATAAGGTAATTGAATCAGCGGTTTTCTTAGGTGGAGACATTGTTGGAGGTATATTCTCTCTAAACACAAAACCTTTCTTTCCTTTGAAGTAATAATTTGACTATCACTTAAGAGTGTCATTAACTATTAAAAATAATCAACAGCACCTGTCCATCAGTTCCCAAACTTGTAAAAACAAATTCTAATCCATTCAAAATTTGCTTCTAAAAATTCTTTTTATTTATTCGCTCTATTTAGAGAACCTTCTCCTCTTCCCCCAATAAAAACAATTCATTTAATACAGAAAGCACCATTTCTTGATTTCTACCACCTTTGGCTTCGGGCAAAACTTGACTCGAATCAAAACAAACTGTCGATTCCCCACCAAAGATTAACACAATTTTATCGTTTTTTGAGATATCTGTGTTCTGAAAGGAGCGTGATATTATTAAGGTTATTGCCTCTCCAAATTATAGGAATGGGATAATTCACTTAAAGACGATTCACCGAAAAATGTTCGTCTTTTCGGCGAATTGTCGTTTCGGTCTATTGTTACAAAAATTTTTTTAACGTTAAAAACACAAACAGAAATATCCACATTTACTGAAAACTCTTCTTTCAAAAAGTTGGAAATATTAAAAGCTAAATGCTTGGCTTGAGTTGCTAATTTAACCAATATTCTCGCCATTGATTGACCCAATTTTGTTGCATTTCCCTCTAAACAGTTTGTAACAATTATTGGAATAAATCCAGCAGAGGTTAAATGAGCAGACAATTCCTAATTTGAATTTTAACTGTTTAAAGAATCCAAATTCTATTCCCTTTCCCAGATATCCCACCCTCCAACTTGTCCCACACATGAATTATTAATAATCTCTCAAATATCCCTCATCTACCGTATCCAAATTCCTCAAATATCTCTTCAAGGAAAATTTTCCCCGAAGGATGGAGGGGGGATAATACATCGATTCTAATTAAAATCAAACTTTCAAAATCATCGAATTATTAGCCACAATTACATTTAGAATATCCACTTCCTTTCCTTCTTCTTTTATTTTTTCCTCCCTTTGTTCTAATACTTTAATAATTTTTTGTCCAATTTGTTCTCTTTTTATACCCAATTTATTTATAATTTCCATTGGTTTTTGACTATATTTATTTAAAATTACTGTTGGCCCACTAGAAATTAATTCTATAGGATCTCCAATTATATCAGAAACAATTAAGGAAATTTGTTGAGATGGGCTAGCAAGTCGAGAAAGTCCGCCACCTTTCAAATTATTACAATTTAAAAGGGGCATTTAAGGGGCAGGCATTTACCTTTAAGCCTCGAAAGCGCTTGTCTAACAACATTTAATTGTTTAATATCTGCCCCATAATTTTGAAGTAATTTAATAATTTCTAATTTATCTGCCAAAGTAATTCCATTAATTGGAGCAGGTAATAAAGCAGAACCACCCCCAGAAATTAAAAACTAATTTTTAAAAATTTTATTTTTTTGTCCATTTCTACCAAAGAAAATTACCAAAATTAATTGATTTGGTTGGCCAATAGATTTAACAAAATTTTCGATTTGTTTTGTATTTTCTAATGCTTGTTCATCAGGCAAATTATTTTCAGCGCCAAAAAGGAATTGAGTTTTTAAATTATTTGGGATAGTTGATCCGGTAGGAACAGAAGCAATTCCATCCACAAAGTGTTGACCAAGAATCTAATTTTTGAAGGGGAGGGGGACATTTTACTGAATGGACGATTCACAAAAAAGAGAGGAGAAATTCTGGGTGGGGGAATACTCCTAAAAAAGGATTGACTTTGGAATAATTTTGTGAAGAAAAATAATATAAAGAACTTCTACTATAGAATTTCCCTTTCAAAACCCCAAAAGAATCATAAAGGTTTAACTCATTTCAATCAGTAAATTGTCTAGACGGTGAATTGTCATTTCTTTGTAAAATCCACCTTTTCTGTCGATTCAACCATTACGGGGGCTGCTTTTCCAATAGCCACCAAATGGACATTTTTATTTAATAAATAGAGTCTGTCAGCAACTTTTAATTGATTTCCATTTAAAGATAAACATTTATTTATATAAGCCCCCAATGTTGAACTATTTAAAGTTGTTTTGAATGCGGAAAGGCAGGGAATGAAAAGAGAAGCTGTTTGTGAATATAAGGGGGTTTTCATAAATAATTTTTGAGGGAGAGGAGGTTAATCTTAAAAAGGAACAGCATTTATTAAATATGGCATTTTAAAAATGACCATTCTAAAGGTTACTAAAAAATGGTTAGCGACAACTTAGGAAGCTCGTTTATCATTCTCCCTAAAAGGTCAATCTCGTAAAAAATTCCCTTTCCCGTCTTTCTTCGGAAACAAAATATCTAAATATAAAATAAGGTCCCTCAAATCAAAAAAAAGGCAACACAAACAAAAGAGAATCAATAAAAAGAATTATTTTTCTGCACATTTTTATGTTAAATATTCCATTCATTCTTTAGTCTTTGTATAACCTTTAGATATTATCTTAAACATTGTTTTTAAATAAATTTTGTTTCCGACAGATCAAAGATTAAAACTTTTTGTAGACATTAAAATATGCTAACACTAAAGTTTCTTATAATTTAATGATTCAGTGTTTTGGTTGTGGCATTTTTATATTTAGATATTTTGAAATTACATTTTGATATTTTAGTGGATATTTAAATTTAATTGGAATTTGAGTCGAAATAGAAATTTTTTATTTTTTTGTTTGTTTTTGTTTGTTAGTTTCGATTATTTATCAGGGAGGAGGGTTGTTGACAATGTTTGTATTTTAATATCAAATTGATCACTCACTTTTCCAAAGAAATTTTATTTTTATTTGTTTTTTTTAGATTTTCTCTTTAAAGATTTTCAATTAAATTATTTCAATAATGTTTAATTCTAACACGGAATCGAATACTACAAAGTTTTTTTTCTTTTCTTTTTTTACTTAATTTTTTTTCTAGCTCAATGGAACAGACAAAGAATTCTGCTAGCGATGAATTTAGTTCCTTTATTGACAAATTGGAACAACTTTGGGATAAAGTACATATGGAAGAGTTTATGCGGGAAGAAAGAAGGCAACAGATTTCCAACTTCCATCGAAAGCTCCTTTCGGATCTTCTTACTGGCGAGGATAAGGTTTTAAAAAATAAGTTTGTGCTTACCTAAATTTTGCTTTTTCTAGCTGGTTACAGAAGTTGGGATTCACATTGTTGAGTATCGCAAAGCAGTTCACGGCCTGAATCAATTATTGTGTGAGCCTTCGTTTGATGAAAGTGCTTACTTGCCAGGATCCGTTTCTTTGGTAAAGGTTTTTGTTGTCTTCTACTTCCTTTATTTTTTAAGTTGGAAGCTCTAAATGTCGAATTTAAGCGTTTGACGAAGAGGCGTGATCAGGGATTTAAAGTCCAGAAGGAGTTATTTGATACTTATGAATTGGCCTGCAAACGTTTGGGTGAACAGCCAGAAAATGTTGATGGACTTAACGAGCGGGTTTGTTTTTTATAGTTTTTTGTTGTTTGTTTTTAAATTTAAGCATTAGTTGCCTCCCTCATCTTTTCTTAGATTTATTGCCCAAGCCTTTTCCTTGACTATGAATAAAGATTTTTTCCTACATAAATTATGTTTTTCAGTTTTTGTCCGCTTCTGAGTTGGAGGCCCTTCGCATAAGAGTTGCCGAATTAAAGAGAATTTTGAATGAGCGTTTGCAAAAGGCATTTCAATATCAATCGGAGGCCATCAAGTTTATTTTTACTTGAAATTAAAATATTGTTTATTTTGTTTTAGGATTTACGACATCATCCATCACGCTTCCACTCCTGTTTTGACTGAAACTGATCAGCATTATTTGAAGATCAATTTGCACAGTCACGACACTGTCATGTCAACTACTTTATTGGATAAATTGGAAGCTCTTTGTCAAAAGGTATGGATTTCTTTTCGGGTTGAGAAGCCTCATTGAGTAATGGATAAAATAGGGGATAGTTGAGGAAATGAAACGGCCTTTTACGTTTAAAGTCCTCATCATTTTTTTTTCTTACAGCTCAAGGATCAACATGATTCATGGCTTGAACAAGTTGCTTTTCGTTATGATGAACTTTTGATACAATTCAGCGATGTTTCTGAGAAATGCTTTATGTCACCTGCGGCTAAACTTTCTTTTGAGAATATCGATCCTTGTTTATTTTGTACATAATTTATAAATAATTTTCTTAATTTTTAAGCCAAACTCAACGAATCGGAACTTAAACGATTGCAAGAACAAATTCAGGATCGCGAAGAGCTCTACAAACGTGCTCAACCAGTTTTTGATTTGCTTCGAGAATGGATGAATAATTGGAGGCAAAAGTTGGAAGCTGAACGTCGTGTTTGCCGCGCTTCTTTTTATAAGAATCGTGGTGGCAGTTTGAATCAAAAGCTTAAGGTATTTTGTTTTTAAAAGACAATTTTGAAACAATTTGTTTTTAGCAACGTAAAATGCTTGACATGAAATTACCCAAGCTTATGCAGGAATTGCATGCTGCTTGTGACAAATATGAAGAACATTACATCGTTGATGATATTATGGTTAGTGGTCTTCGTGCTGATCAGTATGCTGAGCAAGTGGTTTCAGACTATGAACGTGAACGTGAATTACTTCGTGTCCAAAAGGTTTGAGCGTTGCTAATATTATTTTATTATGTTTAATTTTTTAGCAACTTTCGAACACTAAAGGCCCACAGACGCCAGGGCGCATCAAAAATGTGTTTGGAACAACGACTACAACCATAAGTGCACAATCAACACCGACACGAACAACTCCAGTGCGTCCTCCTGCTGCTCGAAAACTCATTCCTAAAATGCCGATCGCTGCCTTCAGGCCTCGAAAACGTTCACTTTCGGAGAGCCAGATTAGCTTTATTCATCCAATTCATCCGTCTATTGTAAGAAATTTTTACTTCTAATTTGTTTAAAATAAATTCAATTTCTAGGCTGGCCCTCATACAAGTTCTCCTAAGCCTGAAGGTGACTGTTCTTGAGTTTGCCTATAAGCCCACCTCATTAACAATCTCAATATATCAATTTGATGCAATCAATTAAGTGCCACTACTATGACTTTCACTATCTATATATAAAATGCATCTCATTTTAAATTATTTATTTTGTGTGGTACAAAGTAAAATTTGTGCAAATGTTTTTTTGTTATTTTTATATTGGTTTTAATTGACCAATTTTAATTTTTTTTTCAACTTTGTTTTTAATGTTAGACTTATGCTGACATGTTTTTGATTTACATGGGATAGCAGGCCCTTAGCCGGGGGTGGGGTCATTCGATTTTTCTCGACAAGCTTAAATAAGAATTCTTCGATGCTTGTCGAGAAAATTGAATGATAATTTAAAAATTTTCTAGAATTTTAGAAAACTTATTAAATTATTTTAAATGTGGCCTAATGATAGACAGGGGACGAACCGGTATAAACGACAGACCAACGAACAAAATAGTTTAGTTGCCAGCAATTCGTTTCATGAATCTCGTGAGGCTAATGACAACAATTCAATTCTGGTGATTGGAAGTTTTGCTCATTGCTTAGGACAAGTTACAACAGACACTGTAAATAATTTAATCAAAATATTATAAAATAATGTTTTTTAGTTACGCACTCTTATCAATCAGCATGCTCAGAAGCCGGGTGTTCGTTCATATCGTGAAATGGTCTCCGAACTTTTTTATGCGACTGGCGATGCATTTGCTTTTGTTAAGGTACATTTTTTAGAAAAGTTAATTTTTTATCAATAAGTATTTAGATGCAATCTCACGATGCTGCAATTCGAGCTAAGGATGGATTAAATGGAATGGAAATTTTTGGAAGGTTAATTTTTTTTTGAATATTTCTATTTTAAAAATTTTTCTTTTAGTGACATTCAGGTAGCCTTCGTTCCAAATGCTTTATTGTCTAATATTGGTGATAACGATATTGTTGATAGACAACCTTCACGAGCAAGTTTAGTTGAATGCAAGACTGACACAAACAAGCAATTAAGTACATCGATCGAGGCGAAGATTAATAAAGTTTCGAAGGAAGAATCGACCGCCGAGAAAGATCCTTGGGGACGTCCTACAGGTTTTTATATTTACACTTAAAACTTGGAAAGTGTATTGAATTAATATTTTTCTTGGTATTTTAAAATAAATTTCTGTGAGATTTATTTGGGGTTAAATTGGATGTTATTTCAAAATGTTATTTTATAAGATTTTTCCTTTCATTTCTAAGGAAATTTTTTGTTTTGAATTTTTTGGCCCTGCCGCTGCTAAAAACTTTTAAATTTATTTAGATGGAAGTTGGGATAATCAAGATGTTGGGTGGGGTACTTATAAGCCAGATGACTCTTGGGGAGGTGGAGGTAAATCAACGACACAATCGAATTTTGCTGAAGAGAATGTTCGTTCAACTGTTGACAAAAAAGATAACCGAAGCTTTAACTCTAAAAGTAACAACAATTATGACTTTAAACCAGCTCAAGAAACTGTTAAGAACGTAGAGGAGGATTCTTTCGCACGTCCTACTGGTTCTTTTTTTTCGTTTAATTTTTTAAAATTTATATATTTTAATTTTAGAAAATGTCAATGGATGGGGTGAAGTTAATAACAGTTGGGATAATGTTATGAATCCAAACAAGACTACTACGAATAATTTGTTGAATGAAAATGAGGAATCCAATGTTGGAAATCAGCGAGAATATGGAAGGAACTTAAACAATAATAACAACAATTGGAAGTCTAACAGAGGAGGGTTTGACTCATCGACAAATAATAACAATTGGAATAATGATCGTCCAAGAGGAAATGACAGAGGGAGAGGTGAAAGAGGAGGAGGAGGACGGTTGGTTTTAGATTTAATTTTTTGGGGGGATAGTGGGAATTTTGTGAAGATAAATTTTTTTGGACTTTGGGTTTTTGGTTCCCTCGGAATCTTCTAGATTAAAAAAATTTCCAATCATGTAAATTGTCTCTATGATAATTTCTAATTAACTATTTTTTAAATTTTAGTGGGCGTGGTGGCTGGTCGGATCGTAATTCATATCCTCGAAACCAATACAATTCTGGAGACCGAGACCGTAATTTTTCTTCACGTAATGACTTCAACAGTGGTGACCGAAAATCTTATCGAGGTGCCTATAATGCTGGGAAAGGAAATTTCTCGTCACGAGAAAACCTCAACGAAGACCGTATTATTGAAAAGAAGTTAAGCAATACTAATGTCCACAAAGACCGAAATTATGACAATCGTCATACAAATTTTGAACATCGACAAGTACGTCCACTTTTTGAACCGCCTTCTACCTACAGGGATTCTGGCCCAATTTTTCGGGGGCGTGGACGTGGAGGATCATTTGCTGGTTCTGGACAACAACGAAATGAAAACGAATCTCAACAACAATTTGAAGGTGGTCGTAATGAAAATAATCAGCGTAATGATGAAACTGACGGGTCAGATGGACATGATGAGGAAAATAAGCAACAGATTGGAAGTCCCAAAAAGTTTGGCCAGCTGCCTAAAGGAGTAAGAAAATTTTAATATTTTTGAAAAAAATCCATTCGCTTATTGGCAAACTTTATTTTTCCTTACTTTGAGAAAACAGTTCCCTAGATAATTATTTTAAATTCCAGGTTACTTCGAAAGACGATCCATTTGAAATTAAAGATGACCCAGCTGGCGAAAGACTTGATAATCCTCCTTCAAAGGTTTTTTTAAATTTACTTTAAATATTTAATTTTCACAATTTAAAGGTTATTTACATTACCAACCTTCCTGGTGAGGTTAATAAAAGTGAACTTTTCGCGATGCTTTTTGCTAAGAAATTAAATATTGTTGATTGTGATGTTTTTCGTTATACACGTGACCATGATGATGCTGGGAATGCTTATTCTTTTGCAGAATTGGGAAGTGAGGAAGAGGCAAAAAATGCTATTGAATTGCTTAATGATACGGAATTTATGAACAGGAAGCTTTTGGTAAATAATTTTGTTTTAAATAACTATGGAGTATAATTTTTATGGATATGATTTATAAAAATTTATCCATTTCCTCTATCTGCAATGACTGCGCTGACCTTAACCAAAGCTATTTTTCATTTATTGCTCAATTCTCGATAGATTCGACAATGTTAGATACATAGTCCAGTTAACTTCCAGTCCGGTTAACTAGACTGGAGTTTTTCCCACTCTTCTAAAACATTTTTAGTTTTAAATTCTTAATTTTTCTAAAGGTAATGTATTCACGTAAACAAACAATAAATATGAGCACAACAATGATGAGAGAAGCAAAACGTCGTAGAAATCGTGGTTTGGGTGGTGATACAAGTAGTGTTGTTAGTGCTTCTAATAATAATGATGGTTGGGATAATGGAGTGAATAGTTTGGGCGGAGGAAGTAAGAAAAAATTATTTTTTAATTTTTAATTTATGTATATGTATAATTTATAGGTGGAGATTCTTGGGCTGATTTTGATGATAAACCTGAAGAGATTGGAAATAAAAATGAAATTGACACAAATTTGGAAATTAATTCTGAAGTTTTTCCAGAAAAGAGTGTTTGTGAGAAAGATGACGTTACTATAACTTTGAGTGAAGAAAATGTTGAAGAGACAAAAATTTGTTGTGTTATGGTTGCTGATGAGGTGGAATCACAAAATTTGAAGGAAGAAATGGACGATGAAGTTGAGGTATAAAATTTTGTTGGGAATTTATTACAAATAAAAATTCTTAAGTTGGGAATAAAACCAAAAGCAAAAAGAAGTTATTAAGGTGTAGTATTTAAAGAAGGGAAATAATTAAGAAGTAATTGTCGATTTTTTTGGAAATTAGAAAAAAAGGGTTTTCATTAAATCTTGTTGGTTAAATGTTAACTTGTCATTTATAATCTTAAAGAGTTGTCCTTTAAACCCTCAGGATTATTCATCAAAAAATTTAAAATTGATTAATATTTTTAATAATTTTAGATCTCAAACTTGGTTAATTCTATGGTGGAAAATGTTGCAAATGAGAATGGTTCAAGCGAAAAGACTTGTTTCTCTTCAGCTGAATCTTTAAATGAAAATAACGAAGAAACTAAAGAAGACATTCTTCCTTCAGACGACAATATTTCTACAAAATTGACAAAAGAAGGGAATACTCCATTTACTTCTACCGAATCTTTAATTGAGAAAGACAATTTGATTAATGAAGATGAAGAGACTACTACTCCTTTTGCTTCTATTGAATCTTTGGTAGAAAAAGTAGAAGAAAAGGAAGAAGAAGAAAGTATTAACTAAAAGAGAGAGTTATTTTATTTTTTAATTTATTAAAAAGAACAATTTTTGTTTTATTTTATTTTTAGAAAAGACACACAAATTTTACTTTAGACTAAAAAAAAGAAAGAAAATATTTTTGATGCTCATGTTTGTTTTTGCATAAAAAATTTTATAAATTTAATTTAAAATAGTTGAGGGTTTTAAATACCAATTGAAAGAAAATTATTTTTTTTTAAATTTTATTCATAAAAACACCCAAAAAAATCAAAAATTATTACTGTCCAACAATTTAATTAATAATTCGAGAAAGTTTTTGAACTTTATTAAGCAATATATCTCCATCACTAAAAAAATGTTTAAATTAAAAGTATTTTAAAGAACTCAAAACTTACTGAATAACTTTTTTGTAAAACAAATTCTTCTGGTCAGTTTGGGCTGTTTCAATAATTCCTTTACACGCGTCAATTCGACAACTGAGTTTTCCAGAAGAAATAAAATTAAATAATTGTTGGTCCAAATATTCTTTACTAACACCAAAACTTTTTGCCATTACATCCAAACTAACCTAAAAAATTAAAAAAAGAAATATTCCAAATTTAATTTAAAATGATGTCATTTGATTGGGGTTACCGAAAAATTACTGGATATCCGGAATTTGCTAGCTATAATAAGCAACAGAGAAAAAATGAGGGGAAGTAGAAGTTTCGCAAGAAAGTTTTTGAAGTTACTGGGGTTAAATCCAAACTCTCCAAAAATATAAACTAACCGTTTTGTACGGAGTCAAAAATTGTTGATAAGCTTTAATACGTAAAGTTCTTGTAAAATAACGGCAATGTAATTGTAAATAGCGGTCTTTAACAAGAAAATCTCTTTCAAGCTTTCCAAGTGCAATCATGAAATTACCATAATCACAATTATAGAAAGTGTAAAGTAATTCTTTTGCGATTGGTAAATTTGCATTGTTTTGGCCAATTTCTGCATTTAACTGAAATGTTAAAAATATGATTTACAGTCAAATCTCAATTCGAAATACACCAAAACTTAAATAAATCTAAATTTAAGGCATACTTTTATAATTGAGTTTAATATGATGGAGAGACCCTTATTAAGGATATACTTGATTTAAGACAATTGTTTTAGCTCAAAGGTGATGTAAAATCGAATTTTTGTTTACATAACAGAACAATTTTAAAAAATTAAATAAACCTGTTGTTGTATTTCACTACAATTAACAACTTTTGTTTTCAAATCAGGACGATCCAATGCTGAAAATTTTTTATTAAAAAATAAAATTTAATTAAAATTCCCAACCGCAAACAGAAGTTATAACCGCATAAAAAATTAATTCTTCATAATTCATCAATTCATAAGCACCAAATGTTGGGACGGCTTCGAGAAATAAATCGGCAGCTCCTTTCATATCTCTAATGGCCATTAAATAAAGTCCTTGGTAGGAACGTAAACGATTTTTTCTGTCCCAATCACCTCCCTTGAAAAAAATGTAAAAATAAATAAAAAGGCAATTATTAACCCAAAAAATATCAAAAATAGAGAAAAATGCCCTAAATTTAAAAATTCTTCAAAGTCAATGCATTTTTCAAGTTATTACGAGAATAAATCCGAATTTTCTTTATCACAATTTAACTAAATACTTGATAAAAATAAAATAAAGATTGGATTTGATATAAACCCTGAACACATTTTCTGCTTAATTCGATCAAAAAAAAGGAGATTCTTTAGAGTATCCTAAATTTTGACTCAAGTTAAGTCAAAAGTTCACCTACAAAAGCTTTCCCCAAAAATTATCTCTCAATAAAAATAATTTTGCTGTGACTAGTACATTCTCAAATAAATTAAAAAAACCTTTTCCATTAATTCTTTTGCCTTTTCAATATTTTCAGTAATTAATTGATGATCCATAAAGAAAAGTCCAATACGAATTAAATTAAAAACCAAATCAATTCGGTAGCCAACCCCAACAGTTTTTTCAAAAGTTTTGTTAAAAGCAGCAACTGAATTTTCTTTATCCCCAATTTGGCACAAATATTCAGATTTGGCTAACCAGGCTTGACGAACTTCGCTTTCACCTTAAATAAAAATATAAGTTAAATTTACTGTGAGCTTATTTTTCTTGTAAAGCAAAAATGTTTTCTAGCAAATCATATAAATAAAAAACCATTAAAAAGGGAAAAATTGTCCAACGTATTTTTGGGTACTCGACTATTTAAAAGTCGACTTTTTAATTATTGAAGGCTAAAGGTGAATGAATACCAGCGGTGTGCGAGTTTCGTCTTTAGCCGATTTTCGCAATTTTTTTGCTTTTGCCTTTCATCTTTTAAAATATTTCGGCCCACCCCTGATGAATACGTTTGCTTAACCAACAAAAGCTCTATCACAAAAATTAAAAAAATACCCAAATTTTTCTCAGCATCCTCCAATTGTTTATTTATTTCATCCAAACGTTTCGCATTTTGTTCTTTAAGTTTATCCAACAAAGCTTGGTCAATTGGAATTTTCAAAGAAGTACACATATATTCATAAAACGGTGCCATTTCATCCTTTTTGACATGCTTAAAGAGAAAATATAGTTTTAAATTTAAAAGAAAAAAACTTCAAGTAAAGCCAGCCAAGTAGAAGAATCATTCTTTTGCCCCATTAAAAAGAAAAGTTGGGCAATTTCGAGATTTGGATTTTTTGAAATTAACTTTTAAAAATATTAATTTTAATTATTTAAAAATTAATTAAACCTCTTTATCAAATTCTTCGTCTTTTTGTTTTTTAGTTTTGTTGTCTTTATCATCTTTTTGAACCATAATTGAAAAATATTTTTTATTTAATATTTAAACTAAAAATGAATTAAATAATTAAATTTTAGAAAAATATTTAATAAAATTTCCAGTCTTTTACAATAAAGAAAATAAAATTAAATCAGCATTTTTAACAAAAAAGTTTCTCTAATTGTCTAACTTTTCACTCTAATTATAATCATTTTGAAAATTCATTTTGGTAAATAAAGCAAATGTTAAATTGGAAACTTTTAAATATAAAGGACAGCCGAGTCCCTGTTTTGGGTTAGAGACGACTGGCACAAAGCTGCCTGCCCCTTTTAGGATTAGTTTTTGGTTGGTATTTGTTAATTATTTTTGTGATTATCAAAATTAACTTATTTTGTTGTTCTTCGTTTTCTTTTCAAACTTTGTTTATAATTAGATTGTTAGATCTGAGTTCTTAAAAATATTTTTTATATTTCTAATTTCAATTTCTTATAAATCCTTTTTTACAGTTAGTACTTTGTTTTCCAGTTACATAAACGATGTTAACAACTTTCAAATGTTATTTTACTGGGGATAACAAATCTTGTGTTAACTGCACTACCACAATTGAAACAGCCACAAAAATCTGTAAGTTAAATAGAATATTAATACTTGGAGTGTTAAAGAATTAAATAATCAAAAAGTAATGGAAAAAAATAAAAATATAAAATCCCCTCTATATATTATAGTGTTCCTGAAGAACTTGAAGAGTTCTAGTGATCTTTGGCATGTATTTAATGGCAAAGACGTCCATTAACTTTCACTGGAGGCCAACAACAGATGGAAAATCTTGGAGGAGAAACGCAAAAAGATGCCCACATATTTCTTTTTGATTAACTAAATTGGGCGAAGATCTAAATAGAGTGGGATTGTATATTTGAAAATAAAAAAGTAATTTCTGTATATCTTAGGGAATTTATGAAATTGCTGGAAATGAATTCAAAGACAGTAGTTTAATTAATTTGGAAATTGATACAATTAGAAAAGCTGGAACAGCTTATTTATCTAAGCAGCATACATACTCCTCTTCAATTATTACTGATATTGGCTGTAGTGTAGTGTACCGGTGGTAAAAGTTCGAGACGTGATATATGTCATTCGATTCGTCTCGACGAGCTGAGTCGAACGGTACCACTCCCTACTTTAGGAAACAATTTTGGACCGAGTTATAGGTCCCGGAAAAATGAAAAACCAAAGGGGGGAGTAAGGTCGATTTTGGGGTGAAAAATTCGAATATGCAAATTATACCTCATTCGAAAGAGCTCGTCGAGCTGAGTCGAATGACACCAAAATCAACAAAATCCGACTTGGTTTGACAAAGTTATGATTGTTTGTTTTAGCTCCTTACCTATGGTCTCCATGGAGGGTTTTGCTGATACGGAGGCTCCAGGTATGCCCAGAGCAAGGGAGATAGGAATAGGTTTATGTTACGAGCCCAGACCCACCGCCCGTAGACTCTCCGCGAGGCGCGTGCCGCAAACCCCCGCGCGAAGCGCGGGGGTTTGCACAAGCGCCTCGCCGACTCTCCATAGGTTTATATTGCTTGTTTTTTGTGTCGTAACTTTGTCTAATCTTGTTCAATCACGATGATTTTGGTGTCATTCGACTCGACTCGTCGAGCTCTTTCGAATGAGTTATTATTTGTATAAAAAATTTTTTATTCCAAAAATCGCCCCTTTGGATCTTCGATATTTAGGGGCCTATATCTCGGTCCAATCAAGTCAGATTTTGTTGATTTTGGTGTCATTCGACTCAGCTCGAGGAGCTCTTTCGAATGAGCTATTATTTGCATATTCGAATTTTTCACCCCAAAATCGAGCTTACTCCCCCCTATGGTTTTTCAATTTTCCGGGACCTATAACTCGGTCCAGAATTATTTCCTAAAATAGGGAGTGGTACCGTTCGACTCAGCTCGTCGAGACGAATCGAATGACATATGTCACGTCCCGAACTTTTACCACCGGTACACTACACTATATCCCTGATATTTTTAATTTGACATGTTGCACTATCACTAATTGTTTTAATTGCAATCAAAAAACTATTGGATTAGAACAACAGGTCCTTAAATAGTTTTAAAGCTTAAAAAGTTTAAATTTGACAGTTTTTGAACAACATATTCACGAGATACAAGGAAATTCAAACTGTGAAGAAAAGAAAGTGGTACGAGATGCTATTAATTAGCGCTTTTATCTTTTATCCCATTTTCTAGGAGACAGGAAAGACTGGTCTCATAAACCAAGTTAATAATTGCTTTGTCAATTGTATACTTCAACCATTAATGCATTCGCCGAAATTCAGTCGAAATTCTACAAAAGCACTAAGACCCTACATAAATACAAGCAACAATAGAGGAACGGATGGTGTTATAGCAGGAGGTTTAAGTGCTTTCTTGAGCCTTTATCGAATCATAAATATGGAATCCATTTGGTAACAATATAACCTTAAATTTGGCAGTAATTAAATTATTATTTAAAGATTATTCTCAACTGTAATATGGGAAAACTTTGGAGGAGAACCCGAAGAAGATGCCCAGTTTTCTTTTTGATTTGTTGAAAAATTGAATGAAGATTTAAAGAGTTCACATTTAAATGCCTAAACGCTTTTGTGATTGATTTTTAATTATACAAAAATAATTCCTTATTCAAAATTTTCAATAAATTTTTTTTATTAAAAATTGTTTCCTCTTTTTAAGTAAAAAATATGTCCTTTTGAATCATTCGTCACACCTAATTGCAAGTAATAATGTAAAAAACTATTTTGTTTGTGTATTAGTATATAGATTGAACGCCTTCGGCAAGGTCGATTCTTTCGCTGGGCCGAAAATGTGGAAAAATAAGGAGAAGCGAAAGTGTGTTTTTGTTGTTTTTGCTAACCTTTTTTACTCATTCCTTTGATTTTTTGGGGTAAAAAGAAGCAAACAAACAAACAAAAATAAATAAATACACGTTTTAAAAACAACCTTTTCTCCTCAACACAATCATTTACACACATTCACTATTACTTTGTTTGGATAGCAACAATTAAAAAAATAAAGAAAATTCTCTCATCTCTCTTTGAGGTAAAGAGGGAAGGCTAAAAATTTTTTTAATTTTATTTTGATTAAAAAATCCCAGTCAACAATAGATAGCTTTTTTCTAAATTCATTTTTAGACAACAATAAATTTTATTAATTTTTAAAAATATGTAATATTCGAAACGTTTTAAAAATTTTTAATTTAGCCAAATTTTAGATAGGGTTAAACTAAAAAGAATTTATTATTCGATAATTTTTAAAATTCTCATATTTAAATTATCCATAAATTTTGTTAAAAAATTAGTCGATTTAATAAAGTAGGAAATAATTGTTAAGCTATTAAAACGCTTGTTAACATATGAGAGAATGTAAAGAAGAAGGAACTAAACACGTATCTGATAAACTCCATAAAATTTGACTAAAAGAATTTTTTATGGAAAAAATTTTATTTAAAAATTAATTTAGCGAAAGAGACAAAGATCGAATTATTTAAAATTAAAAAAACCCCTTAAAAATGAATATAACAGAAGAAGAAACAACAACTTCATTAATTATTAATTCAATATCTTCATTTCCCCCAACATTTCCCCCAACATTTTCAACTCAACAAAACAACTTTACTTCCTTAATCAAAACAACTTTTAATTTTCAACAAAAAAGGGATGTTTCTTTCCATTTTTCTTTAATTTTTGGTTCATTAATTGGGGGTGTTACTATTGTTGGGTTAACTGCTAATATTCTTGTTGTTATTGCTATTTTGAGTGATAGAAAAATGAGAAAATCTCCAATGAATCTTTTATTGTTAAATTTGGTGAGTAATTATTTTTAAATGCTTTTTAATATACAAATCAAGGGAAAAATAAAAACAAAAAAAATATGAGATAAAACGAGAGGAAATTTATTACTAGATTTACTTAATATATTTAAATACATTTACAATTTTATTTAAGTAATGACAGTTTGAATTGCTTTAGAAACTTTTCGTCATTAGATAATTTTTGGATTTGGGATTTTATTTAAAATCCCTTCAAAATATTTTTGAAAAATGCTACTAACTTCTAAGGTAGACAGAAAGCAAAAGATTTCTCGTAAGCTGATAACAATTTTTCGTCTTGAGTTCAAAATATCGCTAATTATTTGTTTCCACGATTCAGATTTCCTCCAGAATTTCAATTTCCTCAAACTTTATAGTGATAAATTAGTGATAATGGAAAGAATAATTTTGTTAACACTCTTTTAGTTACTTTCATTTGCCAAATAATTTCTAAAATTATTTATTATTTATTTATTTGAGTATTTTAATTTTTAAAAATTACTTTTAAAAAAGGCAATAGCAGATTTACTTTATTTATTGGCATTTACACCTTTCTGGTTATCCATGAGTGTTTATGGAGATGGGGGTTGGCATTTTAGTGATATGTTTTGTCCGATTGCCAGATTTTTTGGAAATATATTTTTAGTAATTTCAATACTTACTTATTTAGCTATTTGTATTGAAAGGTACTTTTTTGAGAGAAAAGAAATATTTTTAAATTTGTGTTTTAAAGATATGTTGCTATTGTACATCCTATAGGTATATTTTTACGTTATAAAAAACCATCATCTTTTTAAAATTATTTGGAAAAAATTTTTTTGCTCCGCACCTTTTTAATAATTTTATAAGTGAATGAGGTAATCTTAGAGTAATCGGATTTGAATTAAAAATGGAAGTGGAAAGAAAGGGAGATACGTTTTTTTAATTAGGTTGATGACTAGGGGAGGGGGGGGGCTGTCTCTTCGGGTGCCGGAATTTTGGTCACCGGAATTTTGGTCACCAAGGATTTTCGGAACCTTGATCACCAACTTTTTTGGAATTTTGGTCACCAGCGGAATTTTGGTCACCAAGACAAAAAACGGAATATTGGACACTGAAATTTTGGTCATCAATAGGAATTTTGGTCACCAAACGAGAATAACGAATCTCATCTAAAACTGATATCAAAGTGATAAAAAATTGTTTTTCAACTCCCAGTTGATCAAATTCAATGTTGATCACTCTCACAGTTAGGCATTCATCCGGAAGAGTGATCGAGAGTGATCAACTGAGGGAGTGATCAGCCATGAGAGTGATCAACATTGAATTTGATCAACTGGGAGTTGAAAAACAATTTTTTATCACTTTGATATCAGTTTTAGATGAGATTCGTTATTCTCGTTTGGTGACCAAAATTCCTATTGATGACCAAAATTTCAGTGTCCAATATTCCGTTTTTTGTCTTGGTGACCAAAATTCCGCTGGTGACCAAAATTCCAAAAAAGTTGGTGACCAAAGTTCCGAAAATCCTTGGTGACCAAAATTCCGGTGACCAAAATTCCGTACACCGTCTCTTCCTTCCCTCCCCGAGGCTTTCTCTTATATCGATGTGTAATACAAAATTTAGTAATAAATTTTATTCAAAAAATTATAATCTCTACTATTCTAGCAATGCACACATCTGTTTGGTGTACTCGTTCACGTGTTTTGGTTATAGCTTTTGGTATTTGGGTATTTGCAATGGCATATCAATTTCCTTATTTGGTTGTATTCAAAGTTTTTGATATTCCAGAAAAAAGTATTTTAAAAAATAATTTTTTTCCCCAAAATTTCTAAAAAAAGATTTGCGTGTTTGTAGAAATCCTTTAGCGTCAAAAAGCAAAATTTGGAAAATTTATAAATGGTCAGAATTTTTGTTAACTTATGCTTTACCTATAATTATTTCTGTTTTGCTATATTCTCGAATTTGTCGAGTTTTGTGGTTTAAAAATAAAAATGGAGAAAATTGTGGGAAAGGACAGAACGAAAATGGTAATTTTAAATAATTGAATATTTTTTGGGGAGTTATATGGAATAAAAAGTAAGAAAATGTTTTTTGGTGATGATTATGCCAAAAATAAAACCGAAAATTTTCTGAAAATTGTTAGAAACCCTTTTAATGGTTTTAAAAAACCTCCACATCCATAATCCTCTCATCCTCCACCCCCCCCCCCCCCCTTCTCCCTCGACTCAAAAACTTTCAACTTTTCAGAACACAAAACAGAATTAAAGCCAAACATAAATAAACGTCCAAGCGGCAGAACAATTAAAAAAGTATTGGAAACAAGATTTCGGGAAGCAATTTCTGATGTTCAAAATAAAAGAAAAGTTGCTCCAAAAGACGAAGAAATTTTTAATTTTAATAATTCTTCCGAAAAAAGGCAGAAACCAATGAATGTTTCTTCTTCAGCTAATTTACGCGCGAGAAGGAGTGTTGTTAAAATGTTGATGGTAAATAAATAAAATTTAAAGGGGATATACTTCCCAGGAAAATATATTGATGATGTTACAACACATATGTATCGGTTAAAAAGTCAGATTCGGGTTTTTGCGTATCCAAGATTCAGCCAGATTATTGATAGGGATCCGTCCTTTTTCTATCCGAAATCCGACCAGAAGGAAATTTTGAAAACTATCCAAACCTTTTCCTCATCCCGATCCACCCCTAATCCAAAGTGTGGAAGTATCGGGGTCAAACCGAAAAATTAAAGATTCTTGGTTTGTCGGGGCAAAAAGAATTTGTCGAGATTAAAATTGCTAAAATTAATATATTTATTTATTAGTTATGTGTCGGCCTATTTTTCCTTTGTTATACACCAATGGTTGCCTATTTTGTTTGGAGGTAATTTTTATTAAACTAATTTTTTCCTCCTAAAAATAATTATTCCCCTTTTAAAAAGTGCATTATTTGGACGTCCACTTCCTTTGCCTTTCGAATTTGTATTAATTACAAGTGCTTTAGTTCAATTTCAAAGTGCTTTTAATCCTTTTCTCTACACACTTTTTGCTACACAATTTAGAGAAAAATTGTCAAAATTATTTTTAATTTGTAACAAAAAAGGAAAAAATAAAATAATTAATCAACATAAAATTAGTGCAAAATCAACAAGTACTTTTTCTGTTTAAAGGAAAAAAATTAGAAAAAAAATATTTTTGTTTCTTAACAATAAAGTTTGGGAATAAACGTGAAAAGAATTATTTTATTAATAAATTTAAATTTACTCAATATATAAAAATTCATTTCATATTTTACTTAAAAAATGGCTAAAAGTGTTTTGAGTTGAGTGTTTTAATAAATCTAATTTATGTGGAGGAAATTGTTATGTAAAAATAGTGAAAATAATATGTAAGAATAAGTGATATGTACGTCTAACAATTCATTCGATTTGGTTTTAGTGTCTGGGAGATTTAAGATATCGGTTTCAAATAGAAAAATAAATGCTCTATTTTTAATATTTTGAGACCGTAAGGGGTCCTGGCTTCTTGTAATTGATTTAAAATACGAGTACATTGGATGGGAGCTGCCTAAACCATGCTCTAAAATTGTAATATATGTAGTAGATCTCCTTTTTAAATACGATTTTCGGCACCAAGTGTGTATTTACATATCGAAACCGATTTATAATTTTAAATTTTAATTGTCTATTAATTGGCCGTCAAATGAGAGAATAAACAAAGAAAACTATTATTTTTCCTCTTCTAAAGGACAACAATATTCTGCTAGAAATTTTTTTTGTTTAATCTTTAGTTATGTTATTTAATACCTTTGTGAGTGAACAAAAATTTTAAAAATAATTTTATAAAACCTAATGGTTTTAGGCTCTACGTTCATAATTTCACAAATTCCTCCTTCAACTTAAAAATTTAACTTTTTAGAAAACAAATTAGAGTCAAAGTCAACTAATATAAATAATTAGAAAAGTATTCTTTTTTCTATTATTTTTTTCTCTTTTCTCCTTTAAATTACTTAATATATGTTTAACATTTTATTTAATAAGAAAAGGAATTGACTTTTGATTGTTAATTATTCATTAATTATAAAGGTTTAAGAATTAGTTTAAGTCGTTGTTTGGTTATACAATAACACGTATATGTATGTAAATAAATATAAACCTAATATATGTGTGTGTATTATTTACTGTATTCTAAATTTTAAATAAAGGTGATGCCAATAAACCCTGAATAAACTAATGAACACTGAATAAACCCCTGACAATTCTGTAATGAAAAATCCGATTTGTCTCGGTCTAGACCCTCAGCTTTTTTGAATCCCGAACAAAGAATTTTTTTGAATTTCTAGATATCTAAATTTTTAGTGCCTAATAAATTAAAATTTTTAAAGATAATTTTATTAACTCTTCAAATGGGTTTTACGTTTATAAATTCAGAAATATCTTCTTACAAACTAAATATCTCTCAAATTTACAGAAAACAATTCTGAATTAAAGTCAAATAATATAATCCAAATGAACGAACAGTTAAAAAAGTATTTAAAAATTTAGAGATCTACTTATTTGTCCTGGTTAAATAAGAAATAAACAACAGAAAAAAAAAGAAAAATGATTAACTAATTATTTTTATCTTTTAAACTACTTAATATACATAATTAGATTTTACATTTATTTAATAAGAAAAGGAATCTATTTTGCAAAAAGGAGGTAGCAATAAATTTATATTTATAAGGACAACGGGAATATATATATACATTTAAAATTAGTAACTTATGCAGTTTGGGTACACAACCCATTTATTCGCGAGATAACCCTCATCAGGCAACTTGACTAACCAACCCGTTTATTCGCGAACTAGCAAGAAGGTTATATTACAGCGTACTAAACAAAGCAGCTCTCGACTCTTGCGAGACGCGTGCTGGTTAATGCCGCACGATCCGAGGAATTATGCCCAAACGTTTTTCCAACTTCAGTATGGTTACTTTGACCATTTTTAGCTTGCGAATAAATGGGTTGTGTACCCAAACTGCATAAGTTCCTAAAATTAAATACAATTAATACAATAAATATGTACATATGTATTATTAAAAATATAATTTTTTACATTTTCTGGCCTCTTCGCTCATAAAACAGAGAATAAGATGACGTGCTCTACAAATAAATATTGAAATTAAACATTAAAATAAAATACTTTAACGTTCTCGAGTGAAATCCTATGGACTTCCATATAGTCACACAAGTGCCAAAGATCATTAGAACGTTCCAAGTTCTTCACCTTGGCAACAAAATGGCCACTCGAATAATTAGGGCCAATATGCACCTGAAAAGTTTTATTTTAGGTTCGAGTGAGTATATAGACGGTCACTTTCTATTAGTTCTTAGATCTTAAATTTAGTATTAAAACTACTTACAGCCATGCCGTAGAGGGTGTAGATAGTACATCCCTGCGTATCCGGCGACTGGCAGTGGACATATTCCTTCATATCCAACTCCATGGGAAATGACACTACTTTGCTATAATTAGAGGGAATGATTTAAGTTTTCTACTTTTCCTTACTTTTTGATCGACTCATCCTTATATAATCTAAGGATTTGGTTTCCTTTTTAGTTAATACTGAGCAATTTATGTATGTTTCCATTATCGTCGTGAAGTACCGTTTCAGACCAGATAAAATATGTAGTACATCCTCTAGATGGATTAAAACAGCCAGGTCGAGCTAAAATTTTCGTTGAAACAATATTTTATAGATTTTATTAAAATTTTCTTTTTTTTTTCATTCAATTTTCATAAAATAATTAATATTCCTTTTAAAATCCAACAATAAATTTTCTCTGTTTTGTCGAAAAACATCTACCACTTAATTGATTTGTAACTTTTTCAATTTTTAAATTTTAATGATTAAAAGAAATTTTATATTTTAAATTGGAAATTTTTTTTATAATTTAAATTAAATTTTAAAAATCCTTGCAGGATTATATTTTGGATATTATGATGGTTGGTGTTGAAAAGAGCAAGAAGATGTGCTGATTTAAAGGGTTTTAAAATCCTTTTAGGATTAAATTTCAATTTTGAAGATCATGGTGGTCGATGGAAGAAAGAGGGTAAAAAGAATGAGGTTATGTCGAAGATTTTGATGTTGATATTGTAGTGTTGGTGGTAGATGGTGAGAAGGGGAAGGAAAGGGGCCATTCACTTTTAAGTGAATTTAGGGAACATTAAAATTCTCAGCCAAAGCTTAGAAGAAAATAATTAATTGAATTGCGTTTTTTGTGTATTTAAGTATTTTTTATTTTGAATATTATTATTTAAAAAATAAACGACCTGTTGCTCCATAGTTGTTGTATTTTGGTTACAAGTTCTGCAACACATTGTTCTGGAGATAACGGAGAAAAAGACATCAGCTCTGGTAGGAGTTGATATAGGCTGCCATACAGGCTGAAAGGGCGCCTTGAGTGCCTCGCCCATTGGAGGTATTAATATGGTTTTGTATTGACTTTGTTGCATATTGTTTAATAAACTTTGGGCTATTCACAAGTATTTGGAGAATTGTGTTGACGTAGCAGGAGTTGATTTTATTGGATAAATCACATCCCATACTTGATTTATATTGGCCAATAATCTAATAAAAGAAAGGATTAGTGTGTTTAACACCATTTTTGAACTTTTCTATGTTCGGATAAAATTTCATCTATGATCAGACTATATATTGCGTCAAATCGTGATTTGTTGATTGATGCTGATACTTCATATTTGCCAAGATATGTCGACGACATTTTAAATGTATTATTTGGCCGATAAAAAACTTTTTATACCAATAAGGCATTTGCATTTAGAGCAACGCCCATTTAACATTAATGTGAGTCTAATTGATTTCGTTCCATAGACTAACGTTCCATGAAGATTAACGTGCTTAAAATAGAATAATTGTGAAAAAATCTATTTTTTGAAAATTCTTTGAAAATTAAAATGTTTCGTTTCGCAAAATTTTGGTTGATTCGTATACGAAACGATTAAAAAATTTGTTTCGTTTTGTTTCGCTCGAAAGAAATTTGGCCTAGGTCTGTTTTATGGGTCTGATCTAAATATGGATGATGGTATAATTTCGGAAAACTAAACAGACTCCGATTGGGACAAATTATATGCCATTCGACTCAGCTCGGCGAGCTGAGTCGAATGACATCAAAATATCGATTGGGACGTAACTATGTGCCGAGTTATAGGTCCCAAAAAATTGAAAAACCATAGGGGGGACCAAGCACTTTTTTGGGGTGAAAAATTCGAAAATGCAAATAATAGCTCATTTGAAAGAGCTCTTCAAGCTGAGTCGATCATTATGGTCGGTTTTGAAAAGTAGCAAGAAGATGTGCTACGAAGTATTTGGCCAGATTTGGTGAAAGGATGTTAAAAAACCTTTTAGGATTAATTTTATATTTAGAGTTCATGGTGGTCGATGGAAGAAAGTCTATGGATTAAGTACACCAACTCACCTTTATAAACAACTCCATAGGCGCCTTCACCAAGTTTGTCTCCAAACCAGACTTTGCTGAAGAAAGTAACCATTGTGGGCGAAGAATTGGAGCCTCCAAACGGTCAAGAATTATTGCCTGTTTTGTGCACTTAAATGTTAAAAAATTTTTGAAAAAATAACAGAAAAATAAACCCAATAAAATTCAACTAATTCTTTAGATGTTGGCTCAGTTGATTTTTGACCTGCTAGATGCCATCCAGAATTGTTTTTTTGAAGTACAAAATTAGATATCTGAAAATAGCAACATTAATGGACTTAAGATAGAAATTAATGAGTTCCGTTAAACTAGTGTCTAAAATGGAATTGAAAAAAGTGAAGACTTCCACTCAAGCTTTTGGACACCAGATGATCTCCAAGTTTAATATTAAATAACCTTTGCAGGACCACCATAAAGCGTCAAACTCAAAGAATCATTCTCTAAACATCGCAACATAAATTCGTTTTTATTCTTTAAAAGTTCCAAAGCATCAGCATCAGGCAAATAACCGCACCAGAAAGGAAATTTTGTGTGATCCTCTTTAATATTTGAATGTTTTGCTCCCATTGGGGATTTTAGAAGAATAATTTCGAATCTGAAAATTAATAAATTATGAGACGAGAATCCGGAAAATAGAATAAGGGAAATAATGAAGGACGGAAACTAGTA